GAAATCTGGAGCGACGCACGACCGCCATTCGTGCAAAAAGCGCCGGCCTCCCAAGAGACAGCCATCTACGAGCGCTACCGACCATTCTGGTGGGCTGACCGCTGCTAATGAACGCCTCGACGCGGCGGGAGCAAACGCAAACGATGTTGCGAAAGTCAAAGCACACGGGACGACTTCCGTGTTGCGAGGTCGTGTGATTGATGGAATTTACAGAGTACAAACGATCCTAGAGGCTACCGGTAAATGTCCCACTGCAGCGCGCTAGGCCTCTGACCCTGTGTTCTTTAAAAGGTGTTGATCTCTCCACTTGTTATCAACGTCGGAACTCTGCTACTCTTTCCCTGACATCCTCCCTATACCACACTTTTGTAGTATAGGCCCATATCAGCAATCATGGCTGACCACCTGCACGCCGACGACAAGGCGGTGGCCAAAGACATTCAGGTCGAGAAGGCCATTGAGCATGTCGATGATTCCCACAATCTCGACGCTGCGGCGAAAGCTGCAGAATACAAGATGGCCGCCATCGAGGCCGAGAACGCAGAGCATGACATGGGCGTGCTTGAAGCTGTCAAGGCGTATCCCATGGCTGCTACATGGGCATTTGTCATGTCTTGTACCATCGTAAGAAATATCCTTTCCGCTTGCACCCACAGAAACGGCAACTAACTTCTCCCATAGATTATGGAAGCGTACTGCGTTTTCATCATGGGCAGTTTCGTCGCCTTGCCGGCTTTCGCCAACGATTTTGGTGTATACAGCGAGGTCAAGAAGAAGTACATTATCGAGGCTAGCTGGCAATCCGCTATCCAATGTAGTGGACCACTTGGTGCACTCACATTGGCGTTATGTTGGCTGGTCCTCTGACCAGCAGGATCGGATACCGATGGGCCACCATCACCGGTCTTATGCTCTTGAACTGCTTCATCTTCGTTTTCTACTTTGCCAAGTCGCTTCCGATCATGTTTCTATCTCAGATCCTCGAGGGCATTCCATGGGGAATTTTCATTGCCAATGCACCAGCATACTGCAGTGAGATCACACCAATTCAGCTGCGAGCTCCCGCCACCCAGATGTTGCAAATGTTCTGGGCCATTGGTGCGATGATCGTCGGTGGTGTCACATACTACTACCAAAGCTACACAGACGCCAGCGCGTACAGGTGCGTTTTCTAGCTAAAAACAAACAACCGCCTTGCTAATCTGAAATTCAGGATTCCAATTGCGCTTCAGTGGATGTTCCCAACTCCTCTCGCTATCCTGATGTACATGGCGCCCGAGTCGCCTTGGTGGTTGGTCCGCAAGGGACGTCTCGAGGAAGCCGAGCACGCAGTTGGACGCCTTGGACGCCGATCAAGGCTGAACCTTAGCGAGGCTGTTGCCATGATGCGCCGTACCATCGATCTCGAGAAGTCGCTCAAGGAGCCTAACCTCCTGGAACTGTTCAAGGGTCGTGACCTCTACCGAACCTCGATTGTGTGCGGTGTGTACGCCGCACAGAACCTTACTGGTAACCTTATCGCCAACCAGGCCGTCTACTTCTTTGAGCAGGCTGGCATGTCGGTCAAGACTGCCTTCGCCATGGGTCTTATCACATCCGCTCTCCAGTGGATCTTTGTCATGCTTTCGTGGATCCTCACATCTTACCTTGGCCGCCGAACCATTTACGTCTGGGGTTCGTTCATCAACGTATGCTTCCTTGTCGCCCTCGGTATCGCCGGCTCTGTTGCTGTATCCAACGCAGCCTCTCTGGCACAAGCGTCTCTGGGTCTCATTGTCTCCGTGCTCTTTACGCTGGGACCTGCGCCCGCATCCTGGGTCATTATCGGAGAGACGTCCGCCATCCGCCTCAGGCCTCTGACCACCGGAGTGGGACGTGCTTGTTACTACATTGTCAACATTCCCTGCATTTTCCTCGCGAGTTACATGCTCAACCCTGACGTAAGATTTCTCTCCCTCCAATTTTTGAGTCGAACATTGCTAACACCGAACAGAAAGCCAACCTCGGCGGAAAGTGCGGTTACGTATGGGCCGGAACTGGTTTCGTCTGCTTCGTCTTGGCATACTTCTTCGTACCAGAGATGAAGAACCGCTCTTACCGAGAGATCGACATCCTTTTCAAGCGCAAGGTCGACGCCCGTTACTGGACCAAGACTCAAGTCGACGCAGAGGCCGACGAGTAAACGGACTTTTCCTTCAAGATATTTGGGCAAGATTTGGATTCACATGCAAAGCATGGTGCTGCCAACTGGATGATATTTTAGTGCTACCTTGTGCTCTGGACTGCTTTGTTAACACGAAGAGTTCATCAATTGAGGATTTACCACATTTCGAAGCAATGTGCAACTATAAATGTGAACAAATGATGACCTGCTGAGGCGATTTGATGTTGAACTACCCTGTTGAGTTGATAATCTGTAGCCAAGTGTCGCTCATTATTTCTCGCTGGCTTAGCACTGGAGCATGTATGTGTTGCCCTGCCAAGCGCACATGCAATACCTTCTCAGGAGCGATACTCCTCATTGAATTTCCCCGGCCTAATCTTCGGACATGATCTACGCCGCTGTCCGGTCTGACCATAATTCATCGCCCTCTTCAGGCGCTCCAGACAACGCCGCAACCCCATTCTACTTAGCATACCCTAGGATCTTCTTCATCACCTTCCCAAGTCTCTCCACTTCCCGGCCACTTTCATGAGCCCTCCAGGCCACAAACAAATCGGGCCGAACAAGCACGCATCCATCTTCCTCAACACCACACTTGGCCGCCCACTCAAGATACGTGTCTTCCCACTCTAAGCCGTATCCGATCCCGACGACTTTGATGTCAACACCCATGTCCTTCTTGATGGACTGAGCTGCTTCTTTCCAGTTCTCTCCTCCGATACTGGTGAACAATGTAAATTGGCCTTTGCCGGCGATGTCCAGCGTAGATATGAGCGGACCAGCAACCTTCTTTCCGAGCCAGACGTGCGGAAGTCGACGGCCAGGGTAAGTGCCTGGTTCGTAGTGCTGCTGTGGGCTCTCGATCTCCCGCTGTGACGGTCTGAAGGTTTCCACTTCGTCCTGCGCGTCGACGGCGAAAGAGTCATATCTCTGGCCCATCGCGGTTCCGAGAGCGTGCAGTTCCCGATCTTGCAATTTGGTTGCTTCACGGATCGCCTTTCTGCGCTCTCTTCCTTCTTTGGTATTAGCTATGAGACCAAGCTTGTTCTTTTTCATGTCTTCTTCGCTGATGCCGTAGGGTTGGAGGCCGAGTATGCCCCAGGAACCGACGTCCATACGGAGGATGTCGTTAGATTCAGTGACCAAGTCTGCCCCGACAGGTTGGCGCTCGGTGTTGTAGGTAGATAGCAAGGATGGATGTGCGAGCTTCTTCTCTACCATCGCGATCTTCCAAGCGAGATTGAAGGCATCTTGGATGCACGTATTCGACCCCAGGCCAAGTGTAGGTGGGTGTCGATGGATGGCGTCGCCTAGGCAATAGCTGCGCTTCGTCAGTCTCTTTTCTCGTATCTGAAATGCACCTCCGTGCATGTTGGCATGTTCAGGTAATACTCACACATTCCCCTTGCTTATCACATCTGCGCTACTCTCATTGATCACCCACCCGCTGACATCCAGAATCTCCACATCAACACTATCATCTCCAATGAGATCTTCCGCAATTACCTTCCACTCCTCAAAACTCCTCTTCGGGTTAGGAGCATGCGGCCCTTTTGGAAGGAACACAAACACCCACTCAGTCCACGGCTTTACCTGCCTCATGACGCCCACGAACGGATAATCTTTCTCCAAGCGCAACGAAACGTGCAGGTTGCCCTGCCTATGTGTCATTAAGTGCGTCATATCTGCGCTGAGGAGGACATTGTACGCAAAACCCCCTCCTGAAAGCGTCGTAAACGGTAGATCCAAAATCTTCGCAACACTGCTGCGCCCTCCATCCGCGCCGAAGAGGTACTTCGTCCGAATCTTGTATTCAACGCCGATAACTTCATCCACCACGCTCGCCAAGATCTTCCTCCCATTCTCATCCCCCTCCTCTTCCTCCACAAACGTCAACAACCTCGTATCGAACCGTACACGCCACCCATTCCCACTTGCCCACTTCAACAATACAGGCTCCAGCAAACTCTGCGGCAAATCCAAATACTTGCACGGGCTGATGCAATCATACTCGCCCTTTCGCTCGCCGTTTCCCCATGCATAGTTGCGCGCGTATTCTTCGCCAGCCATTGTTTCGCACCAGCGGTAGTGGCGGATGACTTCGTCACCGTTGCCGAGACGAAGGCATTCTTCGTAGAGCGAAGGATCGAGGTCGCGCAAGCATTCGAGAGCGGGAGGGTTGGTCATATGTGCGCGAGGAGTTTTGGCGGGGCCGGGGGTGGAGGACATAAGTAGTCCTTGGAGGTTTTGGCGGGCGAGGAAACATGCGAGAGAAGCTCCAGCGGGTCCGGCGCCGATGATTAGGTAGCTCTAACCGCACATTGTGTGGATGGAAGTGGAATTGGTAAAGAGGATGTGGGGAGGAATATGGTTGGGGCTGGAAGACATTTAAGAAGAGGGACAAGGCTGAGATGGCCTTTTGGCAGAGTTGCTAGAACGTGAGGATGTACTGGAGGGCGACTGAGTATGCAGGTTTAGAATGGTACGTTTCACGAGAGAGGGGCATGCGTTTGATGGTTGAAGACAAGACTGAGTGAATGGAAGTAGCAGAGACACGGTGGGGATATAGCCCACAAACCTTCACTTGAAGAGCCACACCATGACAGTGCATGTAGTGACCCAAGGCTACACTTCACTATCCAATACTACGCTGGGCGCCTTACAAGATCAGAGTGCTGGAAGCGCCTCGGGGGCCGATCAACGTCCATGGGATCGATTGGTACTATTGAAGGCGTCTCGCTTCTGATAATTTTGCTGAGCAAGGCTTAGGTCTCACTGGAACGATGTATGGCGTGTACGAATAGCTGAGGCGTATGTAAGCACACATCGAGACTAGTAAAAGCACACTACACTGATGAGGAAACCCGACGAAAGCCGGAACTTAATCGTTGCTGAACGCTTGGTAAGGCCTCCTATTTTTACCACACTCTTCGCGGAGTACAGCCCATAACGCTCCATCCCTGCATGCTTAATATGTACTTTTGCTCTTTTCGAGGCGATCTGCATACCGCCATCACTCCATCTCGGTCGCACGTGTAACGCCGTCAACTGCGCTGTGATTCTGTCCGCCAACGGGCGATCCGCACTCTGGACATTTTGCAAGCTGCATAGGCATTCCGCATTCGCCGATTGCAAACTACAAGTGTTAGTGGCTGGCTTTTAATGAAAAGGAAGAAAGAGAGACTTACCGGATGGCCTTTTACGCATTTATACCAGTGTCCCGAGTGCGTCGCGATACCCCCAGGTCCCGTGACCATCGCCCTCTTAATCGCCTCGATCTCTTCTTTGGACACATCTGCATAAAATTCCTTGCCCAACAGCCTTAGCGAGTACTCGACTGCCTTGACCAAATCTTTTGCTCCTTTGAATGGCTGCTCGCAGAGTGTCGCTGCTTGCTCAAGGAGCTCTTTTGCCTTCTCGCGGTGGGCTTCGACTTGCTTACGATCTTCATCATTCGCGAGACCAGATGAGGTCAAAAGCTGCGCAACGCGTGAATAGTACAACGTCGCCTCAACCGCGAGCTTCGGAAGGCTGTCAGCTTTGCAGCCGTCGATCAAATTGATGCAATTATTGAGATACACTCCAGCTTGCGTGACCAGGAGACCGCCTAGCGCATCAGGCATTGTGATTTCAGCGGCGATTTTGTCTTTGATCGAACGAGCAACCGCAAACTTGTCTTCGAGGATGAGGCATTGGACCTTGAGGTAGAGTAAATGTCCACCGTGCTTGATACGCTCGTCGCCTCCCTGTTGTGTTGCCGGAACCGAAGAACTCAAGTTGAGGCGTTCAAAGGCGCTGTCGAGACCAGGATTCTTCTCGAGAGCATGTAGGGTCGCTTGGTGTAATTTGCTTGCAGGCTGATGCTTTGTGGCCGTTCTCTTCTGAAAAGACGTGACGCGTTGCTCAAGTCGCTGAGAATCTGCGTATCGATTCTCTACTAATGTGATAAGCCAATACCTCATGTTTTCGAGGGCGCGTCCCGCAGCACCTGGATCCCTAGGAATCGTGAAGTCAGGGACGACTGTTTTGCGAGAGACCTCAATCTCAGTCCTCAGCTCCTCGAGCTTGGTCTCTAACTCGTATAGCTCTTGTTGGCTACTGACAATGAAGCGCTTGGTCATTTCGTCGATGACGGCCTTGTTGATGAGTCGATTGTATCGCTGTGTATCGAACTGGCGGATTGGCGTCTTGCAATATGGACACTGCGGTATGTTGACTGCTAACTGAGAATTCTCCCGCATTCCAATGTAGTGACCGGTCCGAGGGTCTTGCTCATAAACCTCTTTCAAATCGATGTGGCCATCCAGGGTCTCGATGGTGAAGAAATGACTACAGCTGAGAGCGATAATAGGTGATTCATCTAGCTCAATATCGGAGTAGGACTTCAATTCGAGCATATCTGGCTTCTCGTCCATCTTCATGCCACACTGTTGGCAACAGTTGGCAGGGCAAGCTTCACCGCAGATACTAGGGCACAGATGGCCGCAGGGGAGCACCTTTGTACAGCGTTCATCGCAAGGCAGTCTGTCACAGAGAGCTGAGCACGGCATTTTGCAACGTCCCTGATGTTCGCAGGACCACTCGCAGCTGCGGCTGCAGGGGGCACATGGCTCGTGGCACTTATGGGGGCATTTGCTGTGCTTGCATCGTACCTTCAAACTTGTCAGTGATACGCTTCATCCAGCTAATATTAATACTCACCTCGCAAGGCTTTTGGCACAAACCACAGTCGGTACCGTCATGGCAATAACGACCGCAGGCGTGATTACACGTGCCCATCTTCCTGTGGCACTTCTCCATGCATTTCGCATGCTTCACCACTGATTTGTTGTCAACAGTCTTGCTCTTGCAATGGCCACAGGATCCGGGACATTGGTGGCCGCAGGGCAATGTTGATTTGCAGGGCTCAGGGCATCGAAAGCCTAGGCTCGTAACATCTTGAGAACATTTGACAACAATATCGTGGTCGCAACCAAGGACCTGCTTCGACACTGGTACGTGACATGAGATGCTTGTAAGATCAAGTGTCAAGTGACAGAAAACCCCATTGTGAATGTGACCGCAAGAGAGCCGGATGTTGTCGACCTTGGTCATGCATTTCCCGCACGGCTCGCCGCAAGTTTGCTTCTGACAAGAATGGCCGCAGGGCTCGTGAGACCGCTCGCATGGTTCTTCGCAGTGAAATGCGGCGTGCATGGCTTTCGAATGGCACCTAGCGAGGCAGCTGTGTCCGCAGTCGAGACGATCGATGCATGCCTCTCGGCAACCTCCCTCAGGACTGAATTTGGCGAAGTCCTCAGGTTCACAGATCTCCATGACTTTCTCGGGATGACGGGGGCAGCATAGACCCAGAGATGGTTCCACTGAATTCTTTGCACGTAGCATTCCGATAACATGCTGCCACATGTCGACGGTGGTGTATGTATCCGCATTTCCAATGATATACATTCCGTGCTTGGCCCGACTGAGGAGGACATTTATGCGGTTCGAGGTCTTGAGGAAACCAACCTTCTGCGCCTTGTTGCTTCGCACCAACGATATGATAACGACCTTGGCTTCTTCTCCCTGGAAGTTGTCGACTGTTGCGATTCGAAGGAGGTCAGAAAGTTGCTTCTTTTCAAGAGGTTTTCTGCCCTGTTCCGCTGCTGCAGCGACTCGCTGGTCTTGCGGAGTGTTGCTGATAGTGAAGCCATCTTTCTCGAGTGCTTCTTCGTCGCGCTCGCTTAGCACGATCTCGAAGTCATTGCGCATGGCCGCGCGCAACTTTTGGAGTTGACCAGTGTAAGGCGTCAAGACTGCAATGTCGCTGCTCTTGTAAAGACCCTGTCGAACAACGTGGCGGACCATAGCATGTACCATCTGTACCTCCCATGAATTTGACCTGGACTTGCTGTGTTGAACCTCCATCTGTCCGTCATCTTCGAGGTGGGTATGGTCCAGCCAGAAGACATTTTCTCGCAGACCAACAACATTTGGCATGTTGATTGTCGAAGTGTGGTCAGCAAGCTTTGCATAGAGTGTCTCTCGAATGAGTGTGGAGATCTCGGGACGCATGCGGCGTTGCACGTTAAGCTGGGCAACAGGAACCAAAGGTCTACCAGCCATGCCCACTGATAATCGCTCGAACTGACTCTTATCAAGCTGATGATTCTTTCCACGTTCGCTCTCAAGAGAAAGATCGTCAAAGTTGGAAACTGATGGCCTCAACTGCTCATGATCACCGATCTGAATACAGTGCTCCACTGTTGGGAGGAGCGCCGATATCATGTGTGGTTCCAGAATTTCGCCAGCCTCTTCACAGATCAGAACCTTGCAAGCGACATGCTTGAGTAGTGATATACGGCCCGCCAGGCCTGAAGTAGTGAGTCCAATGACATCAGCTCCCTGCAAGACTCGACGGCTAGCCTCCGCGTGAACGTTATCTAGATGTTTCTGTGTGTTGGCTGCACCCTTCACAACTTCATATAACTCTCCAACTTTTGCTTCGTGTATCTCCTCGACCCAGTGGCGAATCAGTAATTGTCTCTCCTGAAATGTAAGAGCATACACGTTCGTAGCCGCTTTCCGGAGGATGTTGGCAAGGGCCGTGATGGGTGGTGGTGAGCCAGCCGGCGCAAAGGTTGGAAAGGCGCCCGTGTTGCTCCAGATATCAAAGGGATGACGTCCGACCATCTTGAAACCCTCATCGTCCATTTGGCTAAACTGGCAATGCATTTCTTTGTGTTCTTCGGAGATGTGTTGCTCCAAATCACTCCAATCAGGCCTGTTGCGCATGTGTCGTAGACCATTGAGAACATTGTTCGCATCTGTCTTGTAGCTATCCAGCCTGCTGTAAGCGTCGTGTGCAGAATACTTTTCCGATCTAGTGTTCTGTTCAGATCTCCTGAGTTCTCGGAGATTATGATTTGCGAGCACCGTCGATTTGCTCTGTCCACCAACCCGGATGACTTTTGTGACGCCGACGTTGACGAGGTGTTCAAGGAACTGATCCAAGGCATGATTAGTGTAGCATCTGTAACCATATCAGCGATTCTATTCTAACATATACGGAAGTCCTAGCAGTAGATAGGGACGCTAATGGGTAATATGCACTTACACGACTAATATCGGGCCAAGGCCTGCTTTCGCCTTGATTTCCAGCAACACCCTCATCAAGTGCAAGCCTAAGTAGCTCTTTCCTGTGCCGGGTGGGCCTTGAATGAATGCAAATTCGCGTGTCAATGCAGCTACAAGAGCACAGCATTGACCACGATCCAGACTGGTCTTGGCTTCGATTTTGCCGAGAAGATCGTCGTCGTCGCAGGTAGCAGTAGGCCCAACACAAAGACTCGTGTCATCGTCGATCGTGATTATCTTCAAAGGGAAGCTGAATCCAGCGCGCCGTGCATAAAGTGGTGGTGGGATATCATGGCAGGTCTTGACACCCGACGATGCCTCAAGACGGGCAGGGACGATCCACTGGTAGAATGGCATACCACCGGTGCGTTGCATGCTCTGTAGATTCTCAAGGATCGGCACGAAAGTAGCCGGCATAACCTTGGGGAACTCAAGGAGCATACCCTGACATCGACCTGCTGCAGCTCGCATCAAGAGCTCCAGAGTCGCCTTGTCTTGTGTCATCAACTGAGCAGTGATGGTGAAAAGACCATTACTGTGTATGATCTCCTGGCCATCTTCATCCTTTGCACCTTTTCTCACAAGTGTCAAAAACACATGTTGCACGACTTCATTCTGGATCCAGACGTATGAGAGCAGAGATCCATTCTCTAGACGCTTCGATTCTTCCCACCATTTGACCTGTGCAGCAAACGACTTGAGGGCAATTTTTTGCGGAGAGGGGAAAGACATTTGTATCTCCAAAGCTCGTTGAAATACTACCCGGCTTATGTGCACACCGGCATACCGATATGCTCGCATGTCGCCATGCTGGAAACGAGGATTGTTCATAGCATTTGGATCGCGACTGAAAATCTGCATCAAGTTTGATAATGTGCCTTTAAGCTCCCCGAACTTGTCGTGCCGGAATAGGCGGAAATGGGTATCGATGTGGCGCTGGGTAGGATCTTCGAGGAAATGGGGCTGGTCTGGATCCGTAAAAGGCAAGAATTCTTTCGCATCGCTCATGATTTCGTCTCGAGTAGGAAAGATGACAATCTGAGCCATGTCTAGCTTATCGTTGTCGTGGCGGTTACTTGGCAGTACTAAATCGCGTGGGTAGGACGAGGTCTTGCTGATGCGCGCATAATCTCCGTTCTCTCCTGATGAAGCTGTGAAGAGCAGCCCATTTGCGCGAGCTAACATATCGCGTATGCAGCGCACATTGTTCGTAACAATAGTAGATGCAACTGAAGGTCCGTCCAGGGCAAAGGTAGTCCCGGCCGCCCCAAGAGCATCGGTTAAGGCTTTGAGGTCATCGTTGAAGCGTGCGCGAGACTCGCGTTTCAGTAACTCCCGGAGAGCAACCGAGAGAGCAACCAGCGTAGACTCGAGTATATCCAATGAAGCATCTGGATCGTTGTTCGTACGTAAGCTGGTCAGTAACTCGCAAATGTGTTGAAAGAAAGGTATGGCCCTCGTGCCATTGGCACCGCTGACAAAGTTGTAGATAGAGCCGACATATGTATCTACAGCAAGGCCGTCCAGCATGGATGAGTGGGTGATAGTGAGGAGAAATTGCTGGCAATTTCTCACGTGCTGCGCCGCTTCGCTATCTCGTACTCGCATGTTCAAGATTGCGCCGATGTGATGACGACCTTGATGATCCTGGTCGTCCGTGTCCAGATCCTTGGGTAACTGTTGAGAGAGGTCCCGGTCGCCTTCTTCAAGAATATTGAGTGCACCTCCCCACAGCCGCTGCATAGTGCGACTTGAGCTTGGCTCGGAGCTGAGATGACGCTTCCAAGCACTGTAGGACTTCTTCGCCTGTTGTTGCCCTGAGGTTTCAGTTGTTCGGGCTGGCCTATTGTTGCGAAACTTCTGGCCATCTGAGTGAAGATCGTGCGTGTAAGTACAGCTCTTGCGGTTGCAGACTCCCTTATTCTGAAAGTCGAAGCATGTGTAGGGCCTGCTATGGTTCTCGCGTCCCGCAATGGTACCGCCACGACCTCGTCCACGGCCGCCTCGTCCACGCTGGCCACGACCGCGACTGCGATCAGCCATGTTGCTCGAAGGTGCTTCTAACGCGTGCTCCTTGTCGTAAAGTAGAAAAGCGTGCAAGGTGTACAGTAGTAAGTGGTCGAAATTGTGTGCCGCCGCGTTGATTTGTGCGTCGTTGTGTTGAAAGCGGGGGTGTTGTGGTACAGAAGAAGATTTATCGCGGAAGGTGCGGTCGGAGCGCGCCTTCCGGCATGCGGTGAGAGTGAATACAAAGCAAACTTGGCCGCGCGTTGAGACATGTTTGGCAACTGGTGAACGTGAACGTGACAAGGAGAGCAATGTCTACCTCGAGAGGAAAGGCACGCTCAGTGCTAGGGCCGTCTACCAAGGTAAGAGACGGCTGGACCGCTGCAGGTAGCCGTTTTGCAGGAAGAAGACATACATGAGGTGAGTGCCGATGAGATGGGATGAGACATACATACACTCAAAATGCAGTGCCAGGTGCTGCAAAAGCACTGACTAGAATTATTCTGTCTATTTGTAGTTTGCTTTTACATGTGCTCATGGACGCACTACAAACGCACATGCGTTATGCTATGCTATGCACTAATCCCAAGATCATGAGGCAGACGCTATGAGACCTGAGATGGTACCTATGTAGTCGCGGCGCAATTCGTACACATGGAATAATAAACGGGGGTTTTGTTGGCACTTCTACTGTTTGAAAACAGTCGCCTCGCTCCACCGACCGGCGGCCTTCGCCCGATAGTCGTCCTTGACCTGCTTCTCACTCCTCCACTCCTCCAACAGCCCGAACCCGGCAAGTGCTTGCTGTATCGTAACATCGGGGAGATCCAGAACCTTGATCAAGTCCTGCTCGTTCTGGGACTTGGAGGTGCTGTCAAGGATGTGTCGGACATTATAGGCAGCTTGAAGATGTGACGCGCTCTCGGGGTGCTTCTGGAGGAAGGAATCGTTGTACGCTTTAAGGTCAGCGTCAACTGCGGGTGTGGTGAATGTCTCATTAATGACTTGCGATACTTGTGATGGCAGAGGTTCAGATAGTTGCGCGACTGTCTCGGTTAGCAGATCGCTGACAAGGCATGGAGGACACTTACTTGTCTGACGGAAGCGGATGCTCTGTTCGTGCACTGTGGGGTCTTCGGGGTCAACCTCGCGTGCAGCTTGGAGACACTTCAGGGCGAGCAGATACTTCTCTGTTTTAATATGTTAGCGAAAACTTCCTAAAGTTCACGCAAGATCAGAACGTACTGCGCCGCAGGTAGACCTCGAAGCCGACGTTCTGAGCCTCGACGTTCTTAGGGCTGAGCTCGAGCATAGGCCGCAGGAATCGCAAAGCTGCTTCTAATGGCTCTTTGGTTTGCAGCAGTTTGGTGCCCGTCGGGTCTGTGTCTTCTTTTTTGGTCTCGCCATCATCCGCCTTGGCTGTTGCTTTCGCAGCAGCAGCAGCTTTCCTATCTGCCTCGGCTTTCTCTGCCTTCTCCTTGTCCTTCTTCGCCTTCTTTTCAGCTTTCTTGCGTTCTGCGGGTTCCATCTTCTCTAGGTCATATTGCTCCGGGTTTGATATTCTAGGGTCGTCGGCGAGTCTCAGATATATCTCAACGGCTTGGATGGCTGCACGTGTGAAGAACGGATGATTGCGGAGGTGATCTTCCCATCTGACCATGTCCATGTACGCACGAATTTGGCCCTTGCGCAGCGAGAAACTGTGGAAGTCAAACTGGTCCTCATGCCATACGTCGAAAATGTCAGCGATGGCGGTGAAGCGCTTGAGTGCGTGGCCGAAGTCCTGTTTTCGGAGGTACGCCTCGCCGTCCTCAAGCAGATACCACATGCACTGCATGTCGTGAAGGTCGCCGAGGGGGCCGCCAACTGTTTCGTTGCGCGTGAACTTGCTCATGGTGCTTAGCGCCTTCTCGTTTTCGTTGTTCCGGAGCTGGTACTTGGCGCACTTTGTGTTGATGTAGCGGTCCCTCTCGTCGAGTTGTCGAGCGTGCTCGATCGTCGCTGCAGCTTTCTGGACGTCACCAGCGTGCTTCTGTATCCGCGCCTTCGTTTGATGGTAGTCCACCGACTTCGGGTCTAGCTCAATCAGCCGATCTATGTATTCCGTTGCTTTCTTCAGATCGCGGCTCCGGGCAAAGTTGTAATGTTGCGCGAGGAAGTAGAGCACGGATTGCTCGAAACGCTTTGACGTGTCGCCGTTGGACTCGCCTTGCGCAGAACCATTGGCGTGCTTTTCCGCAGCATATCCGAGCACAAGCTCTTCGATAACAGCCTTCTTCTCTGCATCTTGGTAAAGCGATTTGATGTTCGGGAATGTCGAAGGAACGCCCTTGTTCAGCATGCGTCTAAGATACTCGTCCACAGCAGTCTTGAAGTCATCTCCTGAGATGAATTCCAGGGGAATCCGCCTGGGCGCGTCATTGCGTTCACTCTTCTTCGCGTACGAGTCATACAAGTCCTTGAGCTTGGCGATGTCTGCCTCATTGGTGCGGCTGAGACCAAGCGCCTTTTCCAGCCCATCATAGTAAGCACGATACTCGTTGTTTCTGTCCAAAAGTGTTCTGTAGGCTTTTTCGGCTTCTTCGTTCCTTCCAAGCTGAAGCAGGTATTGTGCCTTCATCTCCAGAGCAGAGGTGCGATCCAAGCTGTTCCGTACAACCTCCTCCAAATGAGCCAGCGCGCGCTCGGTATCTCCGGACTCGGCTATTATCATGTTCTTGTATAGTGTGGCTTCGGAGTGTTCGAGATCGGATTTGGGTGGGGTCTGCTTCAACGTCTCCTCGTACGTCTTCAGGATATTCTCTGCCTCAGCATAGTTGCCTGCGAGATGGTGAGCAATAGCGAGCGCAGTCCAGTTCTGTCGCAATTGTGGGCGCTCCTGCATCATCTTGCGCCTGCTTTCGATGTACCCTTCGAAGTCGCGAATCTGGCATTGTAGAAGAGCGAGGTCTCGGAGAATATTGAGCGAGTTCGGTTCGATTTTGAGGGCAAATTTGTATGCTTTGATCGCCTCCTCGTAATTCTTGACTGAACGCCACAGCAGGCCGTAGACGTGCCACGTAATGTGCGACCTCATGTCATTCTTGAGCGCTAGCTTGCAGAGGTTGAAAGCTTCCTCACCCTGGCCTTGAGAGTTCAGGATGAGGGCCTTCATCGCCTGTGTGTCGCCATGGTTGGGATGTTTCCGTAGAATCTGATCCGCTGCTTTGATACCTGGTGGGGTCAGTTTCAGAGTGTGACGCAGTTGCTCAAGACGCACCCTTTTTGTACTGCTTGCCCTCGTAGAACTTGACAAGAGACTTGAAGAGCGTCTGCTCCTTGCTGGGTAGTGGCTGTGGCATGGTGCTGTTTTAAATGCGCAATGGAGGTGGCTATGGAGAGCTCCCAGCCGCAATTAACAGCGTCGGAAAGGCGAATAATTATTCGGCGAGGGGGGATGGGAGAGTTGAGATGATCCACGAGACAGTGTAGACCATAGCGTATAGAACTCTCGGCGCGCGTACAATGGTGGCTGGTGGGATGCTTGAGCTGCGCGACGTCGCCAGTGTGGGGAGCTCTGAAATTCGATGTCGGTGCTCCATGACCGCTAGCGTGGAAATCGACCCTCGATCGGCACGTGCTCTCATATTTTCACGCGTTTTGTCTTCATTCCTTCTATAGCTGCCTAGCCAGCATGCTGCGAATGTATATGCTTTTGTGAAGGTCTCGGTAGCTGAGAGATATCATTCTGGATCATCACCCTCTTTATTTATGTATAGCCGCCCAAGCCCTCCGGACGGACCCCACTTGATCTACTATGCATGTATACAGGAACGTTTTGGCAGCGTCCATAGGATATTGTACAAGAATTCCAGAGAGCTCTTCAGATCAAATCACTTCGAAAGACGGCCAGATCGACGACGCCCGCTCGTGTCCTCGGCCTTGACTTCGACCTCCTGTGCCTTCTTTCCCCTCTTCGCAGCTCCATTGGCCACGTTCTTTTGCTTCTTCGCAGCCGGTACGGGTCCGTCTTCCTCATCGCTATCATTCTCTTCTTTCACCATATTCTTCCGCGCTCTCTTAGGCTTCGCAGATGCCGTCTCCTCGTCTTCCTCGTCTTTGACCACCGCCTTCCTCTTTCCGCCCTTCTTTGGCTTAGCTTCCTTCACCTCGGCGTCATCTTCAGCACCTTCAGAAACATCGCCTGCGACAGCTGCCGTCTTCTTCTGCACGCTCGCTACAATGGCAGAGGTCCGGCCACCAACTTTGAGAAAACTGATTGTCTGTCCATTTGGCAGCTTGTTTGCATCCTTTTTTCCTTTTCCCCATCGATATTTCATCAGCCAATCCGCAGGAAACTTGTCACTCTCAGCGAGATGCTTGACTGCAGTATCGCAGACATACATCATCGCGTCATGCAGTTGCTTAATCTGCTCGTCACTGAACGTGTTGCTGTACTGCTCTGGATGGAGTTTGGCCTGGTACATGATCTCGTCACCAACCCAGTTGCCGATGCCGGAAATATTGCTAGTTTCTGGTTAGTTAAATGAGGCGATGTGGTTCTTGCACCAAAACTTACGCCTGGTCGAGCAACAATGCTTTCACGGGTACCCTTTTGCTTCTCAGCTTCTTGCCAAGCCACTCCACAGTCAAGACATCCTTGTCAAGCACTGGGTCAGGCCCATTCTCTTTCAACGGCGTTGTGTTCCTCATGTCCTCAGCCTTTGCGTCTACCAGCCGTATCCTCGCAAGTCTTCGCGGATCAACAAATGCGACTTCGATCTTCGGGTCTTCTTTCATTTCAAGCACAAACTTCCAGTACCGTGGAGGCCATTCTTCTTCCTCGGCCTTGGCTGGCCGGTAGTATGCTGAGTCGTCGTTGCTAAACTTCATCCAGCCTGACATGCCAAAGTGCATGAGGGCATGTGGTTGCGAATCCATGACCAGCCAGAAGTACTTGCCCTGTTGTCGCGCATCCAGGATCTTTTTCCCTGTCATCGCTTTTTGGAAGGCGGATGCTGAGGTTCCAACCTTGCCATATATGATCTACTCGCGCGTTAGCCCTCGGTCACCTAATGCGTTGGTACCTCCAGGGCTGGTATCTGGGTGTTGATAGCAATGGAACGTACATCATCTTCTTGGGTCTTGACTGCACCTATCGTCTTTCCGACGACATACCTCTTCAAGTAATGTACAATGCGCGATATCTCTGCGATCTATGACTTGTTAGTCATCGTGTCATTGCGAGGATGGTATAAAACGTGCTGACCTCGGGCATGATGTTCGTGCTCTCTAACTACGGAGATTCTTGACTTCGAATGGAACAAGTACAATCACGAAACAACTGTACCTGGCAGGCGACGATATTGGACGGTGGTGATGTTGGAAGATGATGAGCACGCGATTCTGGCTAGCTCGAAACGCGAAGTCGCAGCGCTGACACGTGCGCACGCGACGTCATTCGCACTTCCATCTCATCTCACATCACCGGGAGTCCCGGTCGCCTTACTCACGCTCCTTTGAAATAACCAAGTTGGTCCTCCGGATTTGCCCTTGCTCCTAGCATGTTGACTGCCGGTCCTCTCAGCATGGACTTGCCCTTCTGGGATGCCCCGCAGCGCCGGTCGCGGAATGACTTCAAACAACATCGATAAGACGCACCGTTACATAATTTGGCGCCCTACGACAATGGAGCTCTACTACAAGTATGAGTCCTTCCTCTACTCTCGTTTAGCTTCTCTCGGATCAAAATCTTCTACGTAATGTTGTGGCATAGCATAGCATCCCTGGCTCTTCCAGTTCTTGTGCGGTCACACTCGCATCATGCTCACGACCAAGAGCAATTCTCACAGGAACGACTAGATGAGCTGGAAAGAAAGTGGGGAACTGATGTAGGTCTTGTAACTGAGTGCTTCATACATGAACTGTAACTGACGATCATTCCTAGTGGGGCTTTTCTGGTATCTCGACTTTCGCCCATCTTCCACACACGCGTTGTTTAACACATCCACAAACCACGTACGACATCGCTATCCTCGGTGCGCCGTTCGATACAGCAGTATCCTACCGACCAGGTGCACGATTTGGCCCTCGGGCCATCCGTGCTGGGTCGTCACGTCAGACCTCCTTCCGTGGCTTCAATCCACGAGCGAACCTCAACCCGTACACGTCGTGGGCTTCAATTGTTGACTGCGGCGACATACCTGTCACACCTTTTGATAATGCACTTGCTCTACGGCAGATGAGCGAGGCGTTCCTCGAGCTTGGCAAGCGCGCACCAACAGAGAAAAGTGCGGACAGTGGAGTCGGGTACTTTAAGCGGCCGAAGCTCCTCACGCTGGGCGGCGATCACAGCATTGCTTTACCGGCACTAAGGGCGTTGAAGGAGGTATATGGGCAGCCAATTGCTGTAGTTCATTTCGATGCGCATCTTGACACCTGGCACCCTGCGAAATACCCTTCGGCATGGATCGATAAGGAGGATCCTTCAACTCAATCGTTCTTCAACCACGGCAGCATGTTCTGGTTTGCGTCCACTGAAGGATTGATCGCGAATGGCTCGAGCGTACACGCTGGTCTAAGAACGAGATTATCCGGCGACGACGCCGCGGACTACGAGGACGATTCGCAGCAGGGTTGGATTCGCATTGCGACAGACGATATCGATGACATTGGTGCAAGCGGTATCATCACGTCAATCATGAACCGTGTAGGGACGACGATGCCCGTGTATTTGAGCATCGATATCGACGTAATTGACCCCGGTCTTGCTCCTGGAACTGGTACCCCGGAGCCAGGTGGTTGGACAACGCGAGAGCTTATCAGGATTTTGAGGGGAATTGAAGGCATGAACGTTGTTGGTGCCGACATTGTCGAAGTCAGTCCCGCATATGATGGGGCCGCTGAGACCACTGGCCTGGCCGCTGCACAGGTCGCCTACGAAATTATTACGAGCATTGTGCGAAAAGGCTTGATTGAGCAGGCAAGGTCCAGCAAGAAGGATGAGAGTGTCAAGGACGAGTTGTAACCACTGCAAGCAACAGTTCGCTTAGTCGTATGGATGCTCTAGGCATTATCATGAGGACCACCAACGCGTCGAAGCGAGATAGAGTAGCTATTTCAACACATTGCGCATTATCAAGATATCACTAGCACCAGGTATGATAACGCGCAGAACACAGATGGCCAAAAAACACTGCCTTTCCATGATTCGCCAAGACCAATTCCAGCCTACGTCATGACTGCCTCATGCGACTATTGGAGTACAGAATCACACATGGATATTCGTACTTGTCCATGCTACGTCAACTGCTAAGATCATCGTATCGCAGACATTCACAAACCATGGAGCACTACGCACCCCATCCAAGCTCAAAATTCGAAGGATACTACTCAAAGTTCGACCTGTCCAGCGGATCGCACATTGCCCTCATCATTTGCTCAGTCCCAAATGCCTTCAAACGGCCACATATGGTATCATTTACGTACTATCCGACATCCGGCAAACCCATATTTCAGCGCGAACACTTCGTCAACAATATTGAGAGAGTGACCACGGATGTAAATACTAAGGCTTTCGAGCTGCGCATACCAGGCCTAGGATACATGCGTGCCAAAGGCGATGGAACAAGTTCGTACAGTCTGAAAGCCGAAGATTGGAATTTCGAAGTAGAAAGCACCACCTACACAGCATGGCGGGAAGACAAGTCCACTCCCGAAGGATGGATGATCCGGCTCCCTCTCCCACTCCACTGGCACGTCCACTCGCTCTGTTCGCCTTGTACATTCACATTGTCTATCCCCTCATTAGGAGACAACTTTCCGCCAGCCGACCGCAGAGGTCGCGCAACTTTTCACCAAGAAAAGAACTGGGCAAATAGCTTCCCAGACGCGCACATGTGGGTCCAGGCCTGGGACGCAAGTAACAACAAAGGTGTATGCCTCGCTGGCGGCAAGATCCTAGGCCAAACCGCATATCTGCTTGGTTATCGTTCACCCACTCTCAACCTCGACTTCGTGCCACCTTTCTCGGTATCCTACCTCAATATCTTCTCACCATTCATGAATGTTGACATTGACTGGCCGAGTCGGTCCTTCAACCTCTCCGTATCGAACTACTTCTACAAGCTCGATCTCAAAGCGCAAGCGCCAAAGGAGCCGGGCTGGTTCGGTCTCGCGAGCCCGTTTCCGGATGGGCACAGGCCGAACTATTGTCGGGAGAGCTTTTTGGCGACGATTGAAGTCAAGGTCAGTGAGCGGAGTGGATGGATGCCATGGAGTGCGTGGAAAGAAATTAAGACGGAAACGTTTAATGGAGCAAGTTTGGAGTTTGCGGGCGGATACTATCCTGAGCGTGGGGAATCGAAAGAAGAGTGAGGATACGGCGGGGTAGCTTCACTGGGGGTAGCAAGGTTCCCTTTCCAGTAGCCGCTACCAAATACATATCAGCCGTTTGTTTCTTTGGCTGACACTGGAAACAACAATACTAGTCTTGATTCAGGCTAGCCATAGGCGAAGAAGAAGTAAAGACAGGGTGACCTGGAGGGTGGAGCAGACGTCTACACAGCCCGTGTGAGCGTGATTGTGCCTGACACGCGTATGCCACATGCATGAGAGATACTTCGAGTCGACTATGGCAAAATGGATGTCGGGAACATAATTCGATAAATCGGTGTCTCGTGGATTCGATCCTATCTTATCAACGATCTCTCGTATCCTCTTTATTTCTGGTGATTGAGACATGCGCAAGAGCCACACAGCCACAAGCACCCGTATACTTGGTCTAGAGCCTGTTGCATGGGGTTTGAATGCACGAGGAACTTGTCGTATGCTGGCTCATCTATGAATAATCAGGTCAAGGATGGTGTGTGTACTGCTCGTGATTGGATGCTTGGATAGGCAGCTCCTTTGGTCTTCATATGGCCGTCTCAATGCTAGTCTTCCTTTTCGCAGGGGACAATTGGAACTTAGCCCGTCATTTAGAACTTCCGAGGTTGTCGAGAGACAGCACCGTTTGAGTCGGTTCCGGTTCCGGTTCCGTCGGATGTGCGAGGAGGCTGGTGACTGAGTCATGCGAGGCTCGAGTCGAAGATGATTGAATCGTCAAAAGCGGAGCGGAACCGGGACTGGCTTCAAGCAACAAGCCATGTGACCAAGATTTTGCCCCAGAGCGCTTAAACAAACTCGGCAGTGTTTGAACTGTAGCTCGATTTCATGATTGTGTCTTGGTTGAGGAACGCTTAAATCGGCACCCAAGATTTGTCTGTATCCCTCCGGAACCACATTATCAACACCACAAACTTCCAAGGTCTGCATACCACAACCCACGCTGCGTCAAAGCGTCGCCATGGCTAATTATCTGCAAACAACGAATTTGAGCGCAATGTCTGCGCACAAACTAAGCGATTAGCCCGTGGATAGGATTTCGACCTCGTCTCGATTGTCCTGCCTTGCATGCTCGAGTGACGTTGCTGAATATTCTCAGCCAATCACCGCTTCGCACCAACCCGCATCAGGGATGCCGAACCACGATCTTGTCTCCCCGCCAAGAATCATCAACGGCTCGATCACGGCTTTTTCATGGTGCGCTGCGAGGATCTTCTGGGGTATGCACAACGATATGCACGTCTTTTCTGCCGTTGGGCATGGCTGCAAGGAGGTATCATGGACAGGTAGTATCCGTTCACCATGGGTCTCCACTCGCTTGGTTTTTACCCCGTCATGTGCCTGATTTCATCCAGATCTTGGGCGTGGTAGATGTGTTTAAATAGTGCCTTGCCGTGGCCGCATCGAAGACGTACCGCCTTTTGGCTTCTTTCACCATATCATCTTCCCAAGGAGCAGGTGGATACGTCATTCACTATAGCCCACCATGGACAAGATTCACAGGCTCAATGTGGTACATCGCCTGGAGAAGCGCAACCCTGCTTATCGCGTAAGCTTCACCGTCACAAATTTATGGTGCCAGCTAAGGAAGAACAATAGAATTAACAGCATTGCCGGCTTGTCCATCCTCTTCTTCGGTTATGACCAAGGAATGATGGGCGGTGTCAATACCGCATACGAATATTACACGCGCATGGGCTTTGGCCATAAAGGGCCTGACGGCGGCGTTGTTGTAGACGACACTCTGCTCCAAGGCGGAATTGTCTCCGTTTACTATCTCGGAACCCTTGTTGGATGTCTTGTCGGTGGCTCTATTGGCGATCGCTACGGACGTATCAAGACAATCTTTTTCGGCGCAGCAGTTGCTATTGTAGGCGCTTGCTTGCAATGCTCTGCCATGAATGCAGCATGGATGATTTGCGCCCGGTTGATCAACGGCTGGGGTACAGGCATTCTCAACGCCATTGTTCCTGTGTGGGCGACTGAGACTGCGGAGCACAAATCTCGCGGACAATTTATTGCTATTGAGTTCACGCTCAACATTCTCGGTGTGGTGATTGCTTATTGGCTCGAATATGGATGTTCTTTCTATGGAGACGGTACTTCTTCGTTTATCTGGTAAGATCACAACTATTCCACTTTTGACCGACACAAAGGCTAACATTTTCCAGGCGTTTTCCTGTAGCGTTCCAGATTCCTATGCTGATTGGTCTCATGGCTGGTGTCCTGTTTATGCCAGAATCACCAAGATGGCTCACGAAAATGGGACGAAAAGACGAAGCGCGATACGTTCTCGGTCGCCTTCGTGGCGATGAAGGCGAAGATCGAGAAAGAGCTGAAATTGAGTTCCAGGACATCGTTAAGTCGTGCGAACTAGAGCGCAAGGAGCTCGCCAACCAGTCTTACGGCCATATGCTTTTCGGTATCGGTTCCGGAAAACTGCACACCGGGCGGCGTGTACAGCTTGTCATCTGGCTACAGATCATGCAAGAATGGGTTGGAATCGCTGGCGTCACAATTTACGCTCCAACGATATTTGGAATTGCTGGGATGAGCCCTTCCAAGCGTCAGTGGATTGCCGGTCTCAACAACATCTTCTACATGTTCTCAACGCTTATTTGCGTGTTTACACTCGATCGGATTGGACGCCGCTGGACCTGCTATTGGGGCTCTGTCGGCCAAGGAATAGCAATGGCACTTGCCGGTGGTTTCAGCTATCTCGGCCAGCAAGCGACTCTCGACGGCGATGCTAGCAAAGCCGCTGGATACGGAAACGCGGCTGTATCTATGGTCTTCCTCTTCACCTTCGTATTCGGAGCCACATGGTTAACCGTCCCATGGCTGTACCCCGCAGAAATCTTCCCACTCGAAGTCCGCGCCAAAGGAAATGCCTGGGGTGTGGTGGGCTGGTCAATTGGTAATGGTTGGCTTACACTCCTGTGCCCGATCATGTTCGACAAGATCGGCGAGAAGACGCTGTACATCTTTGCTGCCTGCAACGCCATCACGATCCCTATGGTCTGGGCATTATACCCGGAAACCAACCAGCGCACGCTAGAGGAAATCGACCTTCTCTTTGCTTCGGACAGTATCTGGAACTGGGAAGCTGAGAAAAACTTTGCAAGATTGCGAGATGAGAATGGCCTTGGAGCAACGACTGCGACGGCAAGGGATATCGAAAATGTATCTAGTCGCAAGCCGAGCGTGGCTCAAGACAAGCAAGTTCAGGTCGAGTCTGTACAGTCTTAACATGGACAAAAGGCATAGTGTGAACAGAATCGTCTGCAATGGGCTCTAGAATCTACTACGTCTTTGATATGTAGCGAACAAGATCAAATTTCAAAGTTCAAGCTACACGATTGCATATTCATGCAAGTCCGCGCCTCTTCTTAGACTTTTATACCTCCCCATAGTAAGTATTTCTAGAGCAAAGACGCGGAAACTCTCTGCTAGCATAGTTGTATCAACCTCAGTCGAAACATCGTTATAAACGAGTCATGGGTCCTTACCATCCACTCTGACCATAAAAATTTGCAAAAATAAAAACAAACAACAGAGGAGATTCGGGAGTGGTCACCTACTTAACTACTAACTCTCCGGTATGATGCTTTAATAGCTGAGCGAACGGGATGCCTTGTTATCTCCTGCTCGATCGTCTGCTGTTCCAAAACCGTACACGTATAAGCCGACCACTAATATTATCGTTCTTGATATTAAGTTGTTCCTCTCCACGACGTCGAGCTTACTGCAGTACCTCCCCTCTTGCAGACCCAGTCAAGAGGGCAATGCGCAAAGCCAAGTTAGCTAATCACGAAGATCGCGGAAAAACTTCTCGGCAAGAAATTGCAACTCGCACAAGTGGCAGTACGCTACGCACAACTCTGCAAAATCTTCAAATTACACGAACACATCTACAAATATTGAACACAGGGGCATGCCTCCGAAGTATGACCTATCTCGCTCTGCAAAGATGAGTTGTACCACAGTGTACCCCAGTTGTTGTGGCGCTAGAGTTGCCGACTGGCAATTAAAATACTGCCGCTCCTAGGCCTGTGCAGTAATGTTCGTAAGAAGAGCAGAAATTTGAAACTGCCGCGTTACGCTCAATCTTCCGATGTCAAGTAAAATCAAGTAAGAGACAGGTTTTGCCGTTCTATGTGCATCTTTTGGCAGGAAAACCAAGTACTCTCCTCTTCTTTCAGATTTTAATGTTCAAAGCAACAACAACTACCCCTGCGACAACAACTGGGTACTTTGCGGCAACCACCATCCGAGTTCTTTAATCATGCCACTCCGATAGCAGGTTGAGGACTACGTACGCATTCGGTCGAAAGAAAACGCATAACCAAGCTCCTTCGGTTCCCGAACTCAAGTTTCACCGCCACGTGTACAGAAGGTGACAAGGTAGTTCTTAGGGCCTGTCTGGTTACGCCGGTTTTGCCGGGCGTTTTGGTGATATATTGGGTAAAGCGTCGTAACAAGGGGTGCGCGGCAGCTAAGCTCAGAGGCTTGCCTGAATATGGATGGAACCGGAGGCTCTATTGAACGCTGGGCGACGGAGTCGCGTCTCCGCAAGGAGCTGCTGGTCGTCACTTAGGCAGTCAGCAAGCCAACGAGCTCCGCGATCAGCGTCCTCGTCGCGTTTTCGTACACCAGATAGAGGAGCTGGGGGCGTACTGACGTCGGCTGAGGCGACGCTTGCTGCAACACCAGCAATTAGGCCAGCTACTGCAAAAGTAGCTGGTGTTTAGAGCTTCATGTTGGACGAGATCACGTGCAAAACAGAGCAAAACGGAGGCTTCTGGTATTTAAAATGACCTCTCGAAACTGGAGGCTCCATTTGGCTTAAAGCAGTAGATTGTGGGTATAATAAGCACTAAACCAGGATGCAATCCTTAGTGGCAGCACTAACAAAATGGCATCCTCAGATCTACCGGCAAAACCTCCGTTTTACCAGACACGAGCCCCATCTCATCTCCGTTTTCAAAACGCTGCCTAATTGGGACGAAACGGCCGGCAAAACTGGTGTACCAGACAGGCCCTTACACATTCAGAGTTGATATCGACCGTCAATTAGTTCACAATCTAATGTTCGTGCATAAAGCTGTGCACACTAGTGTGCGCAGACACAGCATCTATAGCTATACTGGAGTCTCCAGTCTTTCCTAGTCTATGATAAGATGTAGGTGTGCAGGGATGTTTAGTTTGTTGTCAGATTGGATTGGGTTGGCTGAAACTTGGAAGCAACTCCGGGAAAATTACGCCACCACTATGTTACGAACTTTGGAAGGATGTAAATGTCCGTACGTCGGATCTTGAACGATTTGTGTGCTACCGTATAATTACGTCCGAATGGCCGAGCGCTAGTAGGGGACCCACCTCCACGAAGCTTAACGATGTTAAGAGAGGCCACGTAACCTTGGAAGCTGGACGAGCCACTCCTATAGGGTGACTGTTATCCTAACCCATCGCATTCGGTGCGTACCGTCCCCTGTTAGCGTTCGGCCATTTGGATAGAGTCATACGGTGATTCTGCTGATAAATTAAAGCCGTACAGCGCACCTGCTACGTTAGGAGTTTGTGATATGTTGGCTAGGTACCTAGGTACCGAAGCACAAACAAAAAACCGCACCATGCGTACTATCGATTACAGCTTTCGGTTTGCAGCTCGAGCCTTCACCATAAGCGGTGGCTTCAGCCAAAAAGAATATGTTTCTTGGGCCATCCAGTCTTTGCATGTTTCGACAAGCTCAAATTCGAAGTCCCAAATCAAATGGCTCAAAGCAAGCTTCAACTCGTACTGTGCCAAGCTGTAGAGGTGGATTAGATCCGTGCATAACGATGACCGGGGGGATGGACTCACTTTCTCCCAAGGCAAGCGCGTGGTCCGACAGAAAATGGGTTGAAAGCCTTCTTGTCATCTTTCTCGAATTTCGGGGCACCTTCAGGTAACCATCTCTCCGGGGCGAACTCATCTGGTCGCACAAAATTCCGTGTAGAGTGAAACATCGGGTAATGGAGAATCATCACCGTAGTACCAGGATGAACATACTCGCCGCAGATCTTGGTTCCACCTGTGGAGACCAATCTCGCCAAAGTTTCTGGTGCGGCGGGATATATCCTCATGACTTCGTCTAGGGCTGCGCTAAGGTACGTCAACTTCGGTAGGGCCTCGATCGTCATCTCCTCTTTTGAACTGAAGTTGCTGTGGATCTCTTGCTTCAGCCTTTCCATGCATTCGGGATGCTTCAAAAGCAGATATAGGGTTCCCGAGAGCACAGTTGCTGTAGTCTCGGAACCCACAACCATGAAGAGTGCGGCGTTGCCGACCATTTGGTCCAAAGAAAGATGAACTTCCTTTTTGTCAGAGGAATCGATAATGAGGCCCCAAAGATCAGGGACGATCAGTCTTCCTTTCCAATCTCTCTCTGACTCTATCTTCGGCGAACTTCATATGCGCATCTCGCTTTGCCTTCATGGATTTTGGGACCAACAGGGGCAGTATTTTTGATGCGAACGGGATATGGTAGAAGACCACGATACGGATAGTGACGACTTTGATAGTCGCAACAATCACCCGAACCCAAGTGTTGTACTCCGTGTTTTCGAGTAGGCCAAGAGATGTACCAAAAGCCAAGTCGCCCATAACGTCGAAGGCCAAGAAATTAAACATGTCCACCATGTTTACTTCGCTCCCTTGGTCAGCTCGCGACTGCACAGCCGCTACCAATCTGTCGACATGCTTACACAGGAGAGGCTCTTGTTCCTTCAGTGCTCTGGTAGAAAATCCTTGGTTGAAGAGTTGGCGTTGCTGGCGATGCTTTTCATCATCCAAAACATCGATTAGGCCTGGTTCGCCTGACATCGGCGGAGGGTTGGCGAGAGGGTTCTTTGGCAGCGGCTTTCGAGGAGTGGAGTTACCTGTGCCATGGATATCTTCGAGAGTCAGCGTGTATATTCGCAGACAATGAGTAGGTACTAATGACCTTTCCATGCATCACTGGATGTGTAGCTCAGTTCCCAAGGGCTCAACCGCACAACTGGACCATATTGCTCGTGGAGGCGGTGCGCATCAAATACCGTAGAACCTCTCCATCTGGAGAGGATGCGGGGTATAGGTGATGCTCGCCATAGGAGCGGCCCCGGGTATTTTCGAAGTGGGTGAAACAGGATATTGTATGCTAGCCATCCAAACGTGGCCGAGATCTGGCCAAATTTAGAACTGCCGGACAATCTTCATTTTGAGAACACACTCACCGCTAGATAGAAGACACGAAGAAGGATCAGTAGGATGCTCATGCTGAGATTCGCTATACCCAAGTCTTACAAAGATGCTTCGAGAAAAAGTGTTGTGTTAACGAAAAGATAATGGACTATCGACAGGTTCATAATTATCTGCTTATCTTCATCCTTGACTGGCCGCTAATCATGTAACGGTAAGAAAAACTGCTATCTCGATTTGACGTCACGCGACACCTCCCTCGTGTTCGGTGTTTTTCTGGATACATGGCCAGGTATACGGCAGTTACTCGGCGTCTCTTCGCCAGCACTGTATGCAGCCCTAGACTTGATCAAGATAAGTAAAGAAAATATGTTCCACAAAGTATCCCATGTCAGGTCAATCTCTAATCTCTGTATCGCGGAGACTGTGAGTGGGTCCGTTTCGAGAGGATGCGGCGGTTGATCTAGCGTCATGTACGTTGAATCGCGTATCTATGTACATTGTATATAGGCACGGTAGCAATCATATCACTAGGAACAATCAATACGTCATACGATTCGACCTCTTCATTTGTCAAGACCTCCGTAAGGAATTGAGCCTTTTCGGTATGCACAGCCAATCCAACCAGTTCGTGCCCTCTGTGGTATTCTTTTGCCCACAGAGCAAAGCTCCAACAGAGGCGTACCTCGAGCAACTACAGAAGTACATTGTCGAAAATCCTTTCTTACATCCCTTCGCAGAGGCCATCACGTCGCTGAAAGACACATGGAGCACACTTTGCGAAGGCTATGCGGACATTGCGAAACTCAAGTCAGGCGAACGACATGCCGTTAGCCTGGAGCGATGGATCACCGACGGTATAGCTGGGCCTGTATCCAGCTCCATGTCTGGGATTCTGGCTTTGCCGCTATTAGTCGTCATTCAGATTTGTCAATACTTCCAGTTGCTGGAGTTGCACGATCTCACACATGAGCAAATGCTATCAAGTCTGAAGAACGGCGGGGGTGCGCAGGGATACTGTGGAGGTCTTCCTACAGCATTCGCTATTTCCTGCGCCAAAGACGAAAAAGAAGTGGTCCGTCTTGCCACTAAGGCTTTACGCCTAGCCTTTGCGGTGGGATCATTTGGTGAACTTGGCGACGACGAGTCGATAGAGGGAGCTACGACAATTGCGGTACGATTGAGAGCTTGTCAACAAGGAGATGAAATTCTACAGGGTATTCCTGGGGTAAGTCGCTTTTCCTTCGTAATTCCTTATGCGGTCTTTGCCTTCCTTGTGTCGTCGCCAGTTTCACCAGGTCATTATTCGGCCTGGCGATGGATGCAATCCACCATCATCTAGCTGTACCCTCTCTCATGTGATATTCCCATGCTTACAATACTCAGTGCTACATCTCGGCGATAACAGATCCAAGAACAATCAGTATTGTAGGCCCAGTGCACGAGCTCAAGAAAGTAGCCCAAAGAGCTCGTGACCAGGGTTTGCAAGTGACTGATATTCACATCCGCGGTAAAGTACACAATCCGGAGAACGCGCCTCTAGTCCAAGTGCTATTTGATATATGTCGGGAGCATGATGAGATGCAGTTGCCGGATGCGAGTCAGCTTCGAGTTCCCGTGCGATCGAACTTGAACGGCAAGCTGCTGATCGACTGTTCGCTGACACACGAGGCGATCAACACCATTCTTGCCTCTCGGTGCGAGTGGTATCGACTTTTGAAGGAGGTTGCGCAAGACCTAGCGGGAAGCGGTACTGACTGCCATACATTCGCTTTGTTTGGAATCGGTGACCCTGTCCCGCTGATGCCGTTCCACAATGCTCGCTTGCGGGTATCGAAGGTGGAAGCCCACACCGCTATTCAAGAAGCCAGGCTGGCTGAATACAAGTAGTGAGTCGCCCCAAGAGGATATGGATGAAGAGATCGTGACCCCTGTCTCACTTAAATTAGAGCCACACTAACGCATGACGCCAGCCCGGATGATGCCATCGCAGTCACTGGAGTTTCATGCCGACTCCCACAAGCAAACGACCTCGAAGAATTATGGCAACTTCTCGCCGCTGGCACGTCGACTTGCGAAGAAATCCGCCATGACAGGGTACCCATGCATGAGAGCTTTCGTGCTCTGCGGAATGACAAGGGGAAGCAGAAGTGGTTCGGCAACTTCATCGATGGAGTCGACGAGTTTGATTGGGCTTTCTTCCGTTCTAATGCTAAGGAGGCTGCTAGCATGGACCCTCAACAGCGAATTTTGTTGGAATTGACGTTCCAAGCTCTGGATTCCGCAGGGTATCTCCGCAGACATGTTCGCGAGAATGGAGACAGGGTCGGCTGTTTCATCGGAGCGAGTTTTATCGAGTACACGGACAATACTGGTGCTCACCCACCAACTGCATATACGGCAACGGGCACTATTCGAGCATTCCTGTGTGGGAGACTCAGCTACCACTATGGATGGACTGGACCGGCGGAAGTCATTGACACTGCATGCTCGTCTTCACTCGTCGCTATCAATCGCGCCTGCCAATCTATCTGGTCTGGCGAGTGCCCAATGGCTGTTGCTGGAGGAATCAATATCATATCTGGCATCCACAATTACTTAAACCTTGGAAAGGCTGGTTTTCTCAGCCCGACCGGTCAATGTAAGCCATTCGACCAATCGGCGGATGGATACTGCCGAGGCGATGGTGCTGGGATGGTCGTGTTGAAGCCCTTGAGACAGGCTTTAGCAGATGGCGACCAAGTATTAGGTGTCATACCGGGGTCATCCACAAATCAAGGCGGTCTGTCTTCGACTATAACAGTTACTCATCCACCAGCTCAAGTTGATCTGTATCAATCAATTCTCAAGAGAGCTGGGATGAGCCCAAATCATGTGTCATACGTCGAAGCTCACGGGACCGGTACACAAGCAGGTGATCCTCTTGAGGTTAGCAGCATCAGGGACGTGTTTGGTGGATCAGAGCGTCCTAATAAGATGTATCTCGGTTCCATCAAAGCCAACACTGGTCACGCAGAGTCGGCAGCAGGGGTCGCCGGACTGCTCAAGGTTATCGCCATGTTACAAAAGAAAGCAATCCCGCCCCACGCCTCATTCGATTCCTTGAATGCGAAGATACCCTCTTTGTATCCAGATAAGATTGTGATCGCAAAGAATCTGGAACCTTGGGAGGTACCCTTCAGGGCTGCCTGGGTCAACAACTATGGGGCGGCGGGAAGTAACGCGTCGCTCGTTGTTTGCGAAGGACCTCAGAAAGACATTGGCAAAGCGTAAGCTGGGACCTTGATCCTCGAGAAGCGAAGACTAACATGTTTGAACAGACAAGCTCGTTTGTGTGCGGACACTGCGTATCCCATCATACTATCAGCCCACTCAGTCGAGAGTCTCAAGGCCTTCGCAAAATCGCTGGGTTCTTACGTGAGTAAAGGGGATCTGGACCTCGCAAGCCTTGCTTATACACTCTCTGAGCGGCGAAAGCGACATCCTGTGGCATGGATGACTACAGTCTCCGAGATCGCGAGCCTCCAGGCCAAACTCTCTGCGGATATTTCACCATGCAACATAACCGCATCATCCAAACGTGTGGTGCTTGCATTCTCCGGTCAGAATAAGCAAACTGTTGGCCTTTCGGGTTCGTTGTACGAGTCTAATCCTAGGCTACGACACTACATCCATGAGTGCGATCGCATTCTCACCACACTTGGTTTCCCCTCGATTCTCTCAGCTATATTCCAAACCACCGCTATTACCGATCCAATTCTGTTGCAGACGGGTACTATGGCCGTCCAATATGCGAGTGCTAGGTGTTGGATTGACGCTGGTATCCAACCTGATTGTACCGTAGGACATAGCTTCGGAGAGCTGACAGCGTTGGCCGTGTCAGGTGTGCTCTCTATCGAAGATGCGCTCAAGCTCGTGGCTACTCGAGCCCAACTCATGGTAACTAAATGGGGTCCAGAGAGAGGTACCATGCTTGCGATCTTCGCGTCAGTCTCCATTGTCACACGCATTGTTGAGACTGTTGGGAGCAACTCTTTGGAGATTGCTTGCTTCAATGGCCCCAACAATCAGGTTGTAGTAGGAACCAAGACTGCAGTGGCGAACGTAGAGAAGTTGTTGGCTACTGGCCCCTCGTTCAAGGGTATCAAAAGTCAGAGAGTTGATGTCACTCACGGATTCCATTCTGTTTTCACTGAGCCACTCAGGGACGATTTCGCCAGATTCTTGGGATCATTGACCTTTATGTCGACTTCAATTCCAATCGAGCCGTGCACACAGGTACATACTAGTTCAATCACTGTTGAGCATGTTGTATCGCATCTCCGACAACCGGTCTACTTCGTAGACGCTGTTAGGCGAATAGAGGAGCGCCTAGGAGGATGCGTCTGGCTCGAAGCAGGATTCGACTCGTTTATCGTTCCGATGATCAAACGTGCGACTACCAGATCGGAGATGCATTCATTCCACGGCATCAAGACAGCTGGGGCTGATCAACCTACCGAGATTCTCTCTCAATGCACCATCGATCTCTGGAAGGAAGGGATCGACATCACCCCATGGCCTTTCATATCTCCATCCGATGCTGGTGTGGAGCCAATCTGGCTGCCGCCTTATCAGTTCCAGAAGACCAAAGCTTGGCTAGAGAACATTGATAGAGCTGCTGAGCTCCAACGGAATTTGGCTACTCTCACCTCACGAGAGCCCGAGGTCGCTCCTCTTCGTATTCCTGTTCGCCTACTACATCACGCGGGGTCTACTGGTCGTACGGAAAAGTTTGTCATCAACAGTTCGGCGAGTCGTTTCCGTGAGGTCATCAGTGGCCATGCAGTCAGAGGCCGGCCGCTTTGTCCCGCTTCCATGTATATGGAATGCGTAGCTATGTCGGCGCAGCTTCTGGGTGCAGATTACGGTTCCAGGTCATTGGTATTCAAGGACTTGTCATTTGAATCGCCATTAGGTGTCAATCCGGACCGCTACGTGAACCTGAACCTGGAGGAAACAGTCAAGAACAGTTGGAAATTCATCGTTTCGAGCTCCCCCGGTCCGGGAAGTAGCTCAACTCGTGCGACTGTTCATGGCAGAGGCCAAATGCTTCTGGTTGAGAACTCTCAATTTTCGACATACAAGCGACTTATAGCTGGCCGACTTGACTCAATTCGATCGAGTCCCAGTTCGGAGAAGCTCAACGGTGGACGGGCTTACAAGCTTTTCTCAAAAGTTGTTGATTACGCCGATTTCTTCCATGGGATCAAGAGCATCGTTATTGATAAGAATGAAGCCCTGGCTGATATTCGCATGCCAGACAGTCATCTTGGAAGGGAGGAGAGTACCGCAACAAAACATTGTGACACTATGTCCATCGATTCGTTTATTCAAGTCTCCGGTTTGCTTATCAACAGCAGTAAAGCTTGCCCTCAAGGTCAGGTCTTTGTAGCTTCGGGTGTCGAAAGCATTACGATGTCAAGGCTTTGCGACTTCGACACTTGCAGGGAATGGAACGTGTACGCGATTTTCAGTCTCATAGATGATGTGCATGCGACTGGCGATGTCTTTGTTCTCACCAAAGACGGCGAGGTAGCCATGACAGCCATTGGCGCTAAATTCCATCGTCTGGAGATAACTAAGCTTGAGCGAACGCTGGATGCGGCGAATGGATCCAAAATGAATTCGAAAGAGGCTTCACGTCCTTCTCTTCCCGGCCCCATTTCGTCTTTCCAGAGCTCCATGTCAACTTCCGTCAAAAGTGCTCTGGAGCTGACGCCCGACAACGATTCTGGTTTTTCTAGCGCTTCTTCTGTAGCTGAAGACGAATCTGACGACAGAGAGGTACCACTGAAGGCAATGATCTCTACGTACACTGGCGCACCGGCCGATTTCATTTCCTCGAACACCTGCCTTGGTGACCTCGGTATTGATTCACTCGCGTCGGTCGAACTATCCGATGAGATAAATGAGCGCTTTGGGAGATTGGTCTCGCCCGGCGAGCTTCTGACGATGACTTATGGTGCATTGAGCCAAATGATGTCTCCTGATGTCGCTAAAGTCAGCCAAAAGCCCATCATGCCATCCAGGAAGCAGGCGGCAACAACGTCACCACCAGCTTCTGAGATGGTTGAGAACAGTTCGCAATTTGGCCAGAGCAAAAATGCAGTTGCTGAACAAATGGAAAAAGACTCAGTCATTGATACCCGACGTGCCAAGTTGTTTGATCTCATGTCGGAGCTCTGCGGTGTGGACGTCAGTCATATTCAGGAACACCAATCTCTCCAGGACCTTGGATTTGATTCCCTTTCTACAACAGAACTTGGATCAAGTATATCCGACGAGTTCAATGTCGATATTGACAGCATCGACACTCTCCTCGACCTTTCCGTCAAAGAACTCATGCAGCTAGTTGGAATTGGTACACGGAATCCGAGCTACGAGCTCTCAAAGCCGCTAATCTCACCAGTGACTGTGACACCCACATGCGGCATTGACCAACCCGCAGGGATTACGGATCCATTCGAAGCTCTGCTGGCAGCAGAGTCTTCCCTCCAGGACTATGCAACGTCTTGTCATTTCACGGGATATCTCACGAAGGTAGCTGCTCGTCAAGACGAGTTACTACTTGCATATCTCGTTGAAGGGTTTCAAAAGTTAGGAATCGATCTCAGGGCCATCGGGACAGACCAGAATATCCCCGATTTTGCCTATCTTCCGAAGCACGTCAAGGTGGTGCAGAGATACTTCGAGATCCTCCAGAAGCATAACATTATCAAGGAAAAAGACCTCGGCTATGTCCGATCATCTGGTTCATGCGTTTTCCCACCTTCATCCCAGCTCTTGCGTAACCTTGTCGCCGATTATCCCCAATACAGCTGTGAGGCTGAACTTATGGCTCTCACCGGTCCGAAGATTGCAGAGTGCCTGACGGGTACCGAAGACCCCGTCAAACTCCTGTTTGGTACCAGCAAGTCGCAAGAAGTCGTTGGAAACTTCTACACCAAAGCTCCTATGTTTGCCACACTGACCGAAGTTCTTGTCAATTTCGTGGTTCGTTTATTGAGCAAGGCAAACGGACCCGTCCGTATCCTCGAGGTCGGAGCCGGCATGGGGGGAACTACTAAGCGACTTGGTGAGGCACTGAGCACTCTCGGTCATCCGATTGAGTATTTCTTCACAGACATATCCTCAACACTTGTCCGTAATGCATCTAAGAAGTTTAAGTATCCGTGGATGCAGTTCAAGACGGTCAATCTGGAGATTGAACCCCCCACAGACATGATTGGTAGATTCGACGTCGTCATCAGCACAAATTGCGTCCATGCGACGGTCAACAGGACTGATACTTGCCGTCGCATTAAACAGATGCTGAACTCGAACGGTCTGTTGGTGCTCTCGGAGATAACTACTATCTTTGACTGGCACGAGGCTGTCTTTGGATTGTTAGAGGGCTGGTGGTTAGCAAATGATGCTTCACATGCTATTCAGCCTCCAAACGTGTGGATGGACTTCATGCATCAAGCTGGATTCCCCAGTGCTACCTACTCTCAGAGTACAGTACCGGACTGCAACCTTCAACGACTTCTTATAGCCTCTGCACAGCAACAACCGGAGCTGCCTCGTCAGGAAGAACAGCCAACGGCTGGTGTCAAGACAGTTGTTTACAAATCTGTCGATGGAGTTGAGATTGAAGCGGATGTTTACTTGCCGAACCGGCCGCCAGCCAGTTTGATGCCTGTAGGTAAATAATCCTGCGCGCACGCTTCCGGTCTTGACTAACATCACAAAGCATTGATGATCCATGGAGGTGGGCACATGACACTGTCACGCAAAGCAGTCAGACCCTTGCAGACGAAGTTCCTGCTTTCGCACAACATTCTTCCCGTCAGTGTGGACTACCGCTTGGTTCCCGAGGTCAACGTCATAGAAGGGCCATTTTCAGACGTTCGAGATGCTTACTTTTGGATCCAGACGAAGCTATCTGCGATCACATCCAAACTTGGCATTTCAATCGACACAAGTCGCGTTGTCTCGATTGGTTGGTCCACTGGCGCCCATCTCGCTATGAGCCTTGCTTGGACGACCAGAGAGCTGAAGATCAAACCACCAGCTGCCATATTGGGTTTCTATGGGCCAACTGACTTTGAATCTGGGGCACTGGAGAAACATCACGGAGAAAAGCACTCAGGAGAGTTTCCTGTCCGCAGAATGCGACTGGAGAACATTATGCAGTCTTTGCCACGTATACCTGTGACAAACTATGGCACCATGGTGGATACTAGCCAACTGGGCTGGATTAAGCCTGGCGATCCACGCTCAGAGCTCATCTTTGCAGTACTTAAGGAAGGTATCGGACTCAATGTCCTACTCTATGGTCTTTCTCACGAGGCTTTGGCGCGAAAGCCCGATCCAGCGCTAGTTAAAGCGATCAGTCCCATGGCGCACGTACGAGACGGTTCTTATGAAGTTCCCACGTTCATCATCCATGGGTTGGAGGATGAGATCGTCCCGTTCAAGCCGGCCGAGTCATTCATAAAGGCGTTGAAAAAGTCTGGGGTCGAGTGTGGTATCTTGTCTGTTCCGGGTGTAAAACACATTCATGATTTGCATTTAAAGCCTGGCTGCAAGGAGTGGAGGGATCAAGTAGAACCGGGGTATCGTTTTCTTTTCGAGATTTTGGACGTTTCAATTTGAACAGCTCTATCCATGGGATATGGTATCTATAAGTCGCCACAGCAGATTCAATTTGTCCTTCGGAGCGCTTATCGTTTTTTTCTTCCGAGGGGAATAATAGATTTTGTGGTATTGCAGCGAATGAAAACATGAAGCAAACACTCTTACGTAGCCTCATTTTTCCGTCCATGAGATTGGTAAGCCGACAAGCAATCCTAGCTGCACCGTAGATACTTCACAACGTATCACCAGAAGCCGTTAGTGTGCCATACCCATGTTCTTATCACCACACACCGCCGATGAACCGCACGTACACGCCAGATCCAACATGTTATCTTTCTCGGACCGAAAACGAAACATAGCCGCTACACCTGCCGTCCGTGGGCGCTAATACCTCAAATAGGGCCGAAAAGACCGGCGAGCAGGTCGAACTAATCGCTCCTTCTTGTAGTCAGAGCCCGGTGACACACAGGATAGATCAAACCGAGTATATACACCTAAAATGACACGAACACTGTCAAACAGTAGCTAGCGGCTCAGTTGGTATTGCCGACACGTGAACGTTCTTACCCAATCACCTGTCAGATATCAGGGATGGTGGGAGGTCTTAAAGCTCAGGTGTAACCACACAAACATGCACTATCAGATCCTAGGTATCAGTGGGTACATCGTCTGCCAAATGATGCCGAACAATACGATTCGATCCTACTTCGGCCTTACTTGCACGAGAGCATGTACATATTGATAGCTTCTTGATCGGAGAACAAAAGAAATCTCATCCCACCGTCAATCATATCCCATCAGGTTGTACCACAACCTTGGAACCTGACACCACCACTCAACTTCGCAAATTACAGTAACCATTCATTTCTCCGAACATGGGCGGCATTCTTCCGGAAGATGGCAGAAGGAGGATCACCCAAGAAGAGGAAGATCAAATTTGGTCCTGGAACGACCGCCTCCCACCAACCCCGGATCAAACCATCACCCAAGTCTTCTCCGCACAAGTGGCTCGCTCACATGATGCGCCCGCCGTCGATGCCCCTGACGGTACGCTGACATATGCGCAACTCGACACCTACTCTACGCGCCTGGCGCTCCATCTCCGCTCCATACTCAACGACATCTCCCCCGATGAAATCGTGCCAATCTGTTTCGACAAGTCTACCTGGCTAATCGTCTGCATGATGGCCGTGTCGAAAGCGGGAATGGCGTATACAACGCTTGATCCCGGCAATCCAGCGGAGCGATTAAATGCTTGCCTTAGCACGATTACTCCTCGGGTGATGTTAGTAGAAGAGACATTTAGTGGGATGTTTTCTTCGGATGCAGGAATGAAGATTTTGGGGAATGTCCCTGAGATATGCAATGTCAATGATGTTAGTGGAAAGAAGACTGAGGTTGTTGACCTGCCAGTCGGTCTGCCGAGCCATCTTGCCTACGTTTGTTTCACATCCGGATCTACAGGGCTACCTAAAGTGGTCCAGCATACGCAAAGCAGTGCGGTTTCAAATGTGGTACATGGTCACGGTTACGAAGCTGGTAGCCGCGTTCTTAATTTCGCCTCTCAGGCCTTCGCAGCCAGCGTCGTTACCACGCTGAAGACGCTGTGTAACGGCGGTTTACTCGTCCTACCACCCGAGAAAGAGCGCATGGGCGGTATAGCGAACTTCATCACCAGAAAGGGGATCACGCGAACATTTCTTACGCCCACGCTGCTGAATCTGCTGAAGCCAGAGGAGGTGGCTTGCTTACAGTTCCTGACTGTAGGCGGGGAGGCCGTACCTCAGCGACTCATCGACATCTGGGCGCCGCGATTATCACTCGTCGAAGCGATTGGCATGACAGAGGGTGTGGGTATTGCTAACATGATTGACACGAGCGGGAAGAAGTGTCGAGCACGACAGTTCATGACGGGCTGTGCGTGGATCGTTGATCAAGATGATGCGGATACGCTGGCACCGATTGGCGTAACAGGAGAGCTGCTCTTTGAAGGACCGGCGCTGTTCCAGGGGTACCGTAATAACCCTGAAGCCAATGCGAAGGCGTTCATCCAAAAGCCGCCGAAATGGGCGAAACAGAGGAAGGAGGGACGTCTGAGGGCTTTGTTTCGGACGGGCGATTTGGCAAAGTATGTGGAGGATGGTGTGGTGCAGATTGTTGGGAGGGCAGATACGCGGGTCAAGTTGCATGGGCAGCGTTTTGAGCTGGGAGAGGTGGAGAAGTCGATGTTGGACTGTCTTCCGTTGGATGTGACCGTCGCAGCGGAGATTGTGGAGCCAGCGGGTGGTAACGGACCAATGCTCGTCGCTTTCATTCATGGTCTATCGGCGGACTTTTCCCACGAGGCGAAACAGTTGAGAGCGAGACTCGCAGCTACCGTTCCGGATTACATGGTACCGCGCGGAATCGTGGATCTTAAGGATCGACCGCTAAACCCGTCTGGAAAACTGGATCGAAAGATACTTCGCCAAAGAGCTGCTGAGATGCCGTTGATGGAATTGGTGAAGCATATCAACTCTTCGGACAAGGTCGCGCCAGTGACTTCGCAAGAGAAGACAATGAGTCGTCTGTGGGCTAAGGTGCTAGGTCTACCTGTGGAGTTCATCGGGTTGAATGATGATTTCTTCTACCTCGGAGCGGACTCTTTACACTGCATCAAGCTTATCGCAGAAGCACGGAGAGAGCAGGTCGGTCTCTCGATCGAAGATATCCTGCAACACAGATCTCTCCAAGCTATGAGCGGAGCGGCGGCCTTCGGGGTACAGATCCAGTCGACCAAGCCTGAAATTGAAGATCGAACGTATGCGATAGATGCTATCGCTCCGGATGTCGCACCAGAATCGGTTGAAGATGTTGCCCTAGCAACAGACTGGCAGGCTTGGTGTATAGCTCAGGGTTTGCTCAAGTCTCATGGCTGGCATGACTACATGATGTTCAAGTTTCCCAAAGCGCTGGATATTGAGAAGCTGCGAAATGCCTGCCAACAGCTCATAGACCGACACGGCCTTCTGCGAACGATGTTCGTTGTAAAGGCAAGACAGACGTTTCAGGTAATCATGAAGTCCAAAGCTTACCCCTTCAGCTTCACGGTGAAGCAATCGAGTGACGGCCAGAACGTGGACGAGGTTGTCAAGGAAACCATCCAACAGGATATAAAGCGACGCACTCAACTCGGCGATCCTTTGGTAAATTTCACGCTTGTACAAGGCACAACTGAAAACACTCATCAACTGATCCTTCGAATTTCCCACGCTCAGTACGATGCGCTCAGTCTCAACAAGCTGTGGCGATCGCTTGAAGCGCTATACTTCGCGAAGCCACTAGAAGTCGTCCCTTTCACCAAATTCTGCTCCGAAGCATCTCTGGCAAGCAAAGCATCCGAATTCTTCTGGAAGGAAGCCCTAGCCAACACCTCGATGAGCGAAGTGATCCCTCACACCCACCCTAGCGTGGACTACCCTATCAACAGAGCCGTCAAAACGTCCGTTCCATTGGTGGATTTGAAAGCATCAGGTTACACGAGCGCAACCACCGTTCTTGCCTCGTGGTCGGTCGTCCTGTCAAAGCTTACAGGCCATGATTCCGTCGTATTCGGATACATCATTTCGGGGCGACACCTGCCGATGGCCAATATAGCAGATGTTCTAGGTCCATGCATGAACATTCTACCTTTGCCTATCGATATCGCATCAACATCGCAAACCTCTTCGCTTCTCAACTCAGTCCAAAGCAACTACCTCAAATCACTCCAACATGGCCATCTTGGACACTATCGCATCATCGAGAGCTGCACCAGCTGGCCGCGGTGGACACGTTTCTCCACCGTAGTAAACCATCTTGGCTTTGAGATGAGCGACGTTGAACCACCGTTCTCTGAACTTGGAGGGTGCGAGTTTAGTGTATATGAGCCGGAGCATGACAAGGCTGATCTTTGGCTGCAAACCTCTGCTTGCGGTGATGATTTAGAGATCGAATTGAGATATTCGGCGGAGGCTTTCTCGGAAGATTGGGTCAAGGCGGTGTTGGACTACTTCGTCAGCGTGTACCAGCAGCTACCTACGGTATTGGAAAGCCAGCTGTCAGAGACGCTTCCTCAGTTCAGCGTGGCTGCGCCCCAGGATAGTCTGATCAATGCTCCACAGCCGATCAAAGAGAGCTCAAAGTCACCACCGGGAAATTCTAGTGATTTGGAAAAGATGGTCTTGTCAGCTTGGGACTCGGTTCTAGGATCGGATTTTAGATCACATCCCGGATTCACATATCTGACACCGTTCTACGAGATTTGGGGCAATGGAATCGCTGCTGCTGCTTTAGCTTGTGAGTACTCGAAGAAGGGCTTTCCCATGAGTAGTGAGGAGATGCTACGTTACCCATCTATTGCAGAGACTATCGCGAAGTTATCATCGTGGACGTAGAGCGATATTTAGCAATCAGTTGGCGTGTTTCTATAGCGCGTGGCTTACATATAGAAAGCTAAGGCAAGTGTACTAGTTTGCTTGATAACTTATCACCAATAACGTATCTTGCGAGTGAGTGGCATATCATAGTATAAATTATGTTCCTGCTGTGTGCGACTTTGTGCAACAGACTCAGGAACCAGTAGACCAAGACTTCCGCTCTGACTATTGGTTGGAGTACAATGTGCACAAGGATGGAAAACCAAAGTGCACGTCTACCTTGGTAATTACTGTCAGGTATTTATGATCCATGATTGGACATGGCGCTGTCAGTAGAGACAGAAAGAGCTCACAGGAGCTAAAGGATATAAGACTGACCTGTGGTGCGTCCAATTATCAGTCTACACATGAAGAGAGGACGCGTAAGGATACGTGCGACTACTTAGGAATGGTTCGATGTATGAGTTGAAAAAGAAATGCTAGATTGTTGGGAGTGAATGCTTGCATTCGATACAAGCAGCAAGCAGCAATCTGTTCTGCACTTAGCTCGCGCAACCTACCAAATCCACGCCTACACTGACAACGTTTGGAGTAGCTGAATTCAGTGTTGATACTTCCGCTGTAAGGGCAGATTGACAGCTAAAACGTCGATAAGCTTTCCCACGTGTTGTCAAACACTGCCCGAGCCTTGAACTATGTTGCTTCGATGCTCGGCGGCCTGGAGATACCCTGTAAAGAAAGTCATTATCATCTCAGGGGTCGCGTAAAACTACTTCGACCTCAATTGACAATGCCTAACAATTAGGTCCTAGCCACTGCCGATGTCGCTGACAATGCGGAGCACCACAGCTTGATTGCAACCAGCGCCACGGTTCAGCACGGCGAAGTGATGCGCAAAGTCGTCACACGAAGCCGTGCGCCCATTCATTCATCCTGGAAATGCTGGAGGCGATTTGAGATAGAACACTTGAAACTGGTGATCCATTTTTGGCAAGCAGGGAAGGCCTGTTGAAGAATTGAGCCAACGAGTCGCGCCGTAGCGGGAAGGATTTGTGGGTGTGAGCTGAATCGACCGTGGTCATACAGGGAGATGCTGTGTAGATCAATGGGCGTGTACCATGGGTACCTTGACATAGCGCTGGACGTCGCTCGGAAGCGCTGCTTAGTTATTTGATGTTTTACTGACGATTACGGCGAGATCCATTGTCGCCGCACGAGTGGTGTCACAATGGAGTAATCCTTCGTTTGGCGGCTTGTTCTCGGTCTCGTATGCCAGTCAGCTTTGCGTGACAATAATGTTGCTCGAAGGCGTCCCGATCGATGTCGACGGCTGTCGGATCCGAAGGTCTCAACGACTTTGTGTGGGTAGCATCGTGATGGTGATAAGCGCTACGGATGTCAAACTGGTCCAATCAGCTTGCATAAGTGATGCTCCACGGCAAAAAGCCGCCAAGGTCGGAAAATTGTAGAGGCCGCAGCTTCGAGGCCGCAGCCACCAATGGGACCCACAGTATCTCCTAGCAACAACAGTCAATATCTTTGGTGTGCGTGTGTAACGGTGGCTTCCTGAGACAAAGTGAACGTGCGAAAAAGAAATTCAATCACTTCGCATGAACTGGTACCGGGAGACACATGTGCAACGTGCGTCTACGGGAGAAGCACATGCAGAAAACGTTGCGGGCACACAGACTCCGCGGGAAGGAACGATATGGTTGCCTTAAGAGCCCGAATACCAGGATGTTTACCTTGGGGAAACGGCCTTGAGTCCGCGAGTCGGCCTGGACTCAACTCGCAACTGAGTGAATAGCTTTGCTCCCAGTCTGGATTTCCACAAACTCAGGTCGCGATGGGTCCGTGTCGCTTCTGGGGAGACGTCCGATGCTTCCAGCAAGTATACCCTGGCCATAGTCGAAGTATTAAGAGCTATCGGGTAGAGTCTCACAGGTACAGGCTGAAATGACGCTCCACACACTGTAGCCTCTTCTGGATAAGACAGTGGCTTGCTGATACAGATGGACGGGAAAGTTGAACCGCGAGTGGACGTCATCAAGAGGAGTAGTGGACGCTTGACAGGTGTGGAGGCGCTGAGATGCGGCCGGCAATATGGTCCAGGAGGAGTGGGTGTCTGGCAGATTTCACCACTTCTGTCTTCGTTGGGATCCAGAATCACATCGAAGAGCTGGCATTGCAAGGTCATTCGTTGATGGAAAAGGTCGAGACGATGGTGATCCTGGGGTCGAGAGTGTCTGTGCGAAGCGATTTGGCCGGGTTAAGGTGCCACTAGGCTCCATGTGGCGACCGTCGCAAATCTGTACTTCTTCAAGGGACACCATAACCACGCGACCACGCGACAATCGCGCGACGCAAAGCATCCGCAGCTGTGGACTCACGAAGTATGGATAGTCTAGTGATTAGTGACATTTCGGCACCTCTTCGTAGTCACCAAGTAACGTTGAGGAGCGGCAAAGCTGTGGGCGGCAAAGCCGAGGGCCGCATAGGATTATCCTTGCCTCTGCGCCACGATTGGCTGTGCTGGCATTGCCATGTCGCAACCCAAGGGTCCAACCAAAGCATTCAGTAGCGCTGTGCCTGTACTCAACGTCTAGTGGCCCACTGTATGTTCAAGTATATTGGTCCGAGTAATATAAGCGTCGCTGGTGAGAGCAAGTCATCGTGCGTACATGCTGGTGCTCTCGGCTGTGCCCTTGCGTGGAAGCGGGTTCCGCGACGGTGCGCTTCCCTAGTCGCTATGTTGTACCTGGCAGATGTCCACAGACTAACGGCCGCTCAGTAGAGGCGGGTCGAGAGCCCTGGCCCTCGTAGCTGAAGAATACGAGTGGGTACAAGAGTTGCCCCCCTCGATCTCTGGTGATATATTTGAACTGTGATCCCGTGCTTCCGATACTGATGATGCGGCATCTTTGTCCTTTACTTGTCGTCACCTGAAGTACGCCTTTGCTACTTCGTACTGACCCCATTACCATGCGATCACCACCTCCCGAGGTCCTGAAGACATGGCCGAAGCCCAACTACGTTGACCCGGTCACCCGGGGCTCTACTTTAATGATTGTCGAGCTCACATTGCTTCCTATCGCAATGATAGTGGTTTTCCTCCGGATGTGGGTGCGCGTTGCGTGGCTGAAGAAGGCTTGGTACGATGACTACCTGATGTTACTCGCGATGGTATGTACCCTGGCATCGGAACGACCGAAAGTGGCAATGCTAACACCCACCAGGTTTTCAGCATTGGTACCACCATCCTTGTCATCATGGCGTCTCAATTGTATGGATGGGATCGCCATGTCTGGGATCTTTTGCCCGTAACGTTGGAGCAAGGTCGAAAAGTAAGACTTGTGTAAGGCGTGTTACCGTAAGCTGATTCTAACAATTCCCAGGCGTCCTTGGCAGGGCAAACCCTTTTCGTGCTTGCGTCAAGCACGGTGAAAATATCAATCCTCGTTTCCTACTTCCGAATCGCGCCTGAAAAATCGCTCTTCCGGAAATTGGTCTGGGGAACCTTCGCACTCGTTTTTGCCGCCTTCGTAGTGTTCCTGGTAGCTTTATGGGTACAATGCATGTTAGTAACATCGACAATGATTGACGCCTTCGATGCTGACTTGCACAGCCCCATTTCCAGCTACTGGAAGCTCAAGTCAGACCATCGTGACTGCATTCCCGAGGGACCGCCATTGATTGTGCAGTCGACCTTGAACGTGGTCACAGACTTCATGATATACGCCCTGCCCATTCCGACGCTCTTTTCGCTGCAACTACCATGGAGTCAGCGTATTGGTCTCATCCTTCTCTTCGGTGTTGGTGGGATCATTGTCGTTGCTGGCTCCTTCCGGGCTTACTGGATCCACTACACTCTGTTTGAAACCTGGGACGCAACATGGGAAGGCTATCAGATTTGGGTATGGACGGCTGTCGAGACCAACGTCGGGGTCATTTGCGGTTGCATTCCAGCCCTCAAGCCCTTGTTGTTCCCGTCCCGTGCGCGACAACACGGCTCGAAGTATGCCAACGGCTCTAGCCATAGCAGACGCAAAGAGAAGACCACGCCGGTGGTCGATCAGCTCGAGCTTGATACCCGCAAGCTGACAGAGACCGATGAGTCGCGACCCGACACAGCAGCACGAGTGCGCGCCATGCAATATTCACCTTCGCGGCCGATGAGTGGCGATACAGATAAAAGTCGCTTCGATCTTGACATCGAGCAGCAAAAAAGCTACATGTACTGATGGTACTGTTTCGTTTTACCTTTTCTTGAGTATATCTGTAGCCAGTAGAATTTCTCTGGGTCAACCCTGCTCACCACCATACGTACTTGACATCTCCTTGCGCTTTTCTTTTCTCCATCATGTCCGGGAGACACCACGGTGGGCGGATAAGTTGATTTTGCGGCATTCATTTGTTTTGCAATTGCAATGTAAGCTTGGCGACGCTCGGGATCATTTGCCGTACTCAAAATGATAAGCCCCCTGACCCCATATCCTCAACTTGCGCCTTTGAAGCTTTTCCGATAACCCGGTCCAGTCAAGGCTGCTGCTGATGCGTCGAGGTAGCAGTGACTCACTGTGCAGCCAAATCCCAACGCCTTCGCATGAACAACCGCGTCATGGCGAGGAGCCCCGACAGATCAAGGCGCGCTATTTTTACCGACGACTTACTCGATTGCTGAAGCCGGCTCGGCTGATGTTCCACTGTTTTCCAGAATATTGCAATGCGACTCTTCAACGAAAAGGGGGATCACGTCGCTTACATCATGAACCCAAAATTTCAAGGACATTCGTTCGATGCTTGGATTGCAGCATGGTCAAGAGCTCGGAAATGGTGCGACAGCCGAAGCTTTCGTCTTCCGTTTTGTGTGTCAATGCGCCAGCAGTCTGTGCTGCATGATGTCACCCCATCTCTCGCTTTCGTCGTCGGGGGCATCGCATTGAATTCTTCTCAGGTCCAAATCTCGGTTTCTTCAAGGGCACCGCCACCTTGCGGGAAGTGAGTTGTCAAGGCTCGCCAGCGCAGCGACATGGACGGGACGGGATGACGTCTGGCATATCATCGGGTGAAGATCCTCGCTCGAATGATTCAGGCTGGGCTTGCTCATTCACAGGGCTCGTCGCAAAACAAGGTGCGCCTCAGGTTGAAAGTCTAGCCTTTCTTTTCGCGTCTGAATGCTGGCGGTGGGCGTTGGTTTTGAGAGTCAAGAGCCAGCCAGCCATCAACCACTGCGGCGGGCGCTTCCAAACGGCGCTAGTGAAATACCGAGCTTCCGTGCTGCAAAGACCTCGGGAAGCCATGCCCAACTGCATACAGTCTGCACGATGACATATCGGTGCAGACAGCTGTTCACCGACTCATTGCACCTCCAGCACTTATCGATTGCGGCACTGTTGGGCGGTGCCTTGCATCCTGTGGGGGTCGGGCGCGTACTCAGCAGAAAATAGTTGCAACATTGATTGTTGCTCGGTCTACGAAACATGGCAAGGATGAAAGATTAATTTGGACGTTTGCGCCGCGAGCGCGCAGTCTAACGTCACTCCTAGGCACGAGCGCCGCATCCTTTCCCATCGGCCGTTTGGTATAGCTTTAGGCTTTGCTCCATTGAGGGTGTTTGAAGCGGCGCAGCTGGCCTTACTTTGCGTTCTGTGCCAGCGCACTGCATGCCCAGCGCTCCTTCCCGTTTTCACTCAATTCACCATAAGGGAGGCACGGCCAACACGCCGCCGCACGGACAAGTCCCTCGGCCGTATATCACTATGATCTTGAGCTGCCCTATGTATTCTTCTTGCCTACTGTACCCTCTCCAATTCAACTTCCAGTTTAACCAACTAAGCGTGCAACCATGTGGTCTCTACCAATTGCTGCACTTGCGCTCCTCTCACACATGATCGAAGCATTCCCCACTCGCCGTCATGAAGAACATAAGCCTGTTTGTATCATTGGTGCTGGTCCTGCGGGACTTTCTGCCGCTGGACGACTTGAGCAGAAAGGCGTGAAGGCCATCATTTTCGACGAGCAAGAAGAGGTGGGTGGAAAGTGCCAGTCTTGGTACGACGACAAGTAAGTGTTACACAACAAAACGTTGCAAGGCGCATCAGCTGACGGCCCACTCAGAGGCATCTTCCATCCGCTAGGCGCAGCATTCCTGTCCAACGCATCCTACACCGAGACGCTCAAAGTGCTCAGCCAGACTGATGTGTCGCTTGAGCCTTTTGCGCTTGCCGGCGCTCGCCAGATGTTTCGGTACAATTTCACCGACGCGTTTATCGATGCGAACCCTGCACCTTCGTCGCAATTTTTTGCAACTGTAGCGGCGGAAATTCCGCGCTACGCTTCGCTTTGGAACCAACGCTTTGCGCCCATTAGTGCGACTAACTACAAGGTGCGAAAGCTGTGCAATGTTGCGCCCAATGCGTCCACTGACACAAATATAGAACGGTGTACCTCAGGAGCTTACAGTCTCCGGATCAGAGTGGTTTCGCATGAACAACTTCACCGCCCTTCCGCTGTTGCTCGTCAATCCGGTTGCGCTCTACGGTTATGGCGATATCAACATAGTTCCAGCCGTAAGTTACTAATGCACCTCCCGCATTACATTTGCAGGGATCAGCGCACGCAGGTACTAACACGTGACTAGCTCTACATTCTGCAATACTTTACCCCTGATATCCTCACCGCTTTTGTCGGGCTGCATGAAGTATACTACACAGACTTCCACAAGATCTTCGTCGAGTATACAAAGAAAGCGCTTTGCAAGACTACCATTAAGACCTCTGCTGAGGTCCGCTGTGTCGACCGTTCCGGACACCGTCCGATCATCACTTACACGCAGCCAAGTGGAAACTATGTCAGCTACCACAAGCAGGAATGCTCATCTGTCATCTTCGCATTCCCCCCATCCATCGCCAGCTTAGAGCGTGCAGGCGTTGACCTTTCCGAAGAAGAGTACGACACCTTCCGTAACGTCACGACGCACCAGTACTACTCTTCAGCTGTTGAGCTCGAGATGCCGTTTAGTGTAAGCTACATAGCAAACTCGACAAACGCTGCTGTACCACCACCCAATCTGGGTGAACCAGTTGCCGTATTGCGCCTCAGCCAGCAATCCAACGTCTCTGTCGCGTGGTCTTGGGGTCCTTACGAGTACCAAACCGAAAAGGCGGGACGCGATCTACTCATCAAGAGCATGTCTGCGCTGAACAAAGACCCGCGTAACGCAACCAAGCCGGCTGCGCCATTCGGCGAAAACAACATCAAAGCCTTCAAGAAGTGGGACTACTTCCCACACTTCGGCACCGATGCGCTTCGCAGCGGCGCCTACGCCTCGCTCAACAAGCTCCAGGGCTGCAAGAAGAGCTACTGGGCCAGCGGCCTAAGTGGCATGGAGATTGTTGAATGGGCAATCCGTGGCGGCCATGAAGTGGTCGATACATACTTCTAAGCGAAGATGATCGACCACATTTTCCACCCTACACCTTTGAGGGAAATCTACGAAATAGCATATGGGTTGGATATCTGAGTTTACGACATTTTTCTCGAGAGCGATGGCGATTTTGCCGCCCTCCAGTTTACGACACGACATTTACGATAGATGATTCCCCCCGACTTTGATGTCATGATTACGTCCTGTACCAACATGTTTACGACTACGATGGTATGATGCGCGGTTATGGCCTGGGCATGTTTGTTGGATATTTAATGGTAATGCGATGAGGTAGAATGACTGGCATGTCTTCATGGGAGATGATCACTCTAGACACGGATGTAGATAGAACATTAATTGAATTGTACATGACGACTACAACACCTGTCTTTTAAATGCCCTTGCTTTGAAATAACTCTTACTTATGCTCGAACAAACTTGTACGACAGCGCACAAAAATATACAACATGGATGCGCCACGATTCGAACGCGGATCTCCCACATCAAACACCTCAGTCTGCAAAGTGAATCCCATGGCTCCATTCGAAGGCTACTTCGAGGTTTCGAGAAGTAGTCTCAGACTTGGCAGGACATGGATCACTCGGCAAACCGATGCCGGGGTTCCGGAGCTTATATGGCGTGAGCGTCTTGGCCATTAGAGCACGCGTCCTGAGTTGTAGAATGGAGGCTTCGATAGATATAGTGCTGTATTGATGCGCGATCGGAGACGGAGATGAGTTGGGCGGTATCAATTCAGCAAGCGTTCATACAGATAGATGGAGAAATGTTTGCTCGATGAGGTGCAAACATGCATGTGTAGGTCCTGCAATCATGAATCCCTGAGAAGCATGGGCTATCAACAACAAAGAAGGGTCGCGGATGTTGAGGGCGGGGAAGATCTCACGTTTAACTTGTCTATTCATACCTCTATCTTAGATTGAGTACTCCGCAGCTTCTCACACACACCTTCCACCCTACGCATCTCTTTCAGCATGAAGCGCAAAAAGAGTACCTCTCTGCGTCAGACCCTATAATTTTTTTAAAAAAGAAGAATTTAGACGCGCCGCGACTCGAACGCGGACTCTCTCACCTTTTGCACAGAGGCGGACAGAAAGAACCTAATGCCCGCATGGCTAACCATATGAGAACGAGTCGCTGCTTCAACGACTCGGAGCTTCAGAGGCATGAAGTGAGTGTCTTAACCATTCGACCACGCGTCTGTGAGATGTTCTTGATGAGATTGAGACAGTAATTTTAGTAAATATGCTAATTATGTCGGAGGTAAAGCAATGGGGTGGAAGATGCGCGAAGTACACATCCTGCGAGGCTACGGGCATTACGTATGGCTTTCTCATCACCGTGCCTTTCATGATTTACATGACAAAGGGAGAGCGTTAGTATATGGTGCGATCATTCTGCGCCATGGTGCGGTAGCTGCGCATATTCTTACAGGTCCATCGCCCGTCTTGCTGGGCTATGAATCGTGTCCGTTGCCAATCGAGTGACGCTGTACGGGACTGATTGAGCGCACATCAAGTTATCTCGAATTCCGTCATCTCGGGCTTCATCGATTCGAATGCATGAGGGTAGAGCATAGCCAACCCGACGCGTTTGTATTTGCCTTCGCCGGTGGGCTCGAGGACGAGGCACCAGTATACGAAGGCAGTCGTCTCGATTAGATCCAATATATCCTCTAGCTGGATTTACATTAGTCAATGGCGAGTGCATGCGCGTAAAGTTGGCCTACCATGGTGTTGGCTAGAGCCTCAAAAGGCCTGTGACTGTAGCTGCCAAATCTAGATACTTCGCTACCATCTGCTCCAGGGTTTTGGGCACCTGCTGCTGGTTGAGGTGGGACTTGAAGCAATTTCAGGTGCTCAGATCCGCTGTTTGATACCGGGGATGAGGCGGAACTCCCTCTTGGCTTGGAGTGTACTTCGTCAAGGTCCGAGTGGGAGTTGTCCTTACCGCTATTCGTCCCACCCTCTCTACCACCGAGCTCAGCATTTGGCCATCGACTGTAGTCTCTAAAATACCTTTCTGAGCGAGCGACAAAGAAGTAGGATATAGACGACAATGGCTTTGAATCGAAGGCGACTAGACCAAGCGCTGTTTTCGACATTGACTGGTCTCTGGCTATGTAGGTCGGCATCTCCGTAAGGGGAAACCTTCCATGGTCATCATAGAGCATTTTCATGAATTCGGGCTCTTTGATATACATTATTTCGTAGCGGAATGGAAGCTTCATGTCTCTTTCTAGAGTATCCAACGACAGAGATGGTGTGGCAAGATAGCCTGAACTGCCCAGTGACCCAGAGGCGCTAACTTCCAGCCCTCGACTTAACGCCTCTATTCTCTCAATGGACCCCATTAGAGCCCCAATCCAGCTCTTGGCGCTTCCTGTGGCTACCCAACTCCATGTGGGAATAGGCAACGATTCGCTTTCCGCGTAAGGCTCGGTCGACCTCCAGAGTATCTGTTCATGTAGCGTATCTTTCCAGACGCCGAAGTTATGAAGATATTCGTTTTCTAATGTCTTTCCTAAGTGATTGGCCACCCCCCTTAGGGCGTGGAGGCGATCCGAAGGATATGTGAGGCTCTTCCTGGTGTATGACTCTAAAAGGTCATACCACGAAAGATGTTCGTAATTGCGCAGATCATGCCAAGAACCTCCTTCCGCAACAACCATCTCATCACATTTCCAAGAAAGTCTGAGTGGCATGCAGAACAAGATTCTTCGTGCAAGATACCATTCTTGTAACACCCACCCTCGATTGCGAAGAGGGCACTCCAGTGGAACCCTTGGGTCTTCCGCCGGCAATTCACTGAGGTTAAAAATGCCCTGTATGCAACCCGGTCCGTATGGTATATTCCAGACCCGCGTATAAGGTCTGTCGGTGATGAACAGACCTTTTGTTGAATCCTCAGCTCCAGCTGCAGCTACAACCAACGCTGCATTACGGTAGACAACGTCCATCGTTTCCGTCTGTAATTTCCAATCATGCTCATCGTCCTGGATTATGCAAAGAGAGTCGATCCAGATATAGTTAATGCCGATACCTCGAGTTAACAGGACAAAGTCTTGAAAAGATTTAGGCAATTTCTCCAGCGCAATGCCTTTGGTATGACGCTTGTAATTTTCGTGCACCGTCCGTAAAGGCAGCTTGTCTTTGGGGTTCCCCACGCAATGGCTTAGAGCCACAGTATGTACCAGATCATACCATGGCTCTCTACTAGTTGTATTGTGGTGGGTGAATCTTTGGTACCGGAGATCTGAAGTACACGACCAGGGAAGTTCCGTTTCGCATACAGCTATTTGGCATTGATGACGGGATATGCACTCGTGAAGCCAGTATTGGACAGAGACCCACATACTTGTTCTACATGCGAACTGCGAACTGGGTGATTGAGTTACAAATTACCTCGGATGCCCGGGGTACCTGGCGCTTCACATGTCAATGCAACAACACAAGTCGAAAAGGATGAGGACTCTATACCTGTTTCTGCCCATAGGGCAAACTCTCTACCCTTCTTAGTCATGCAGTCTCTAAACCTTACAGAACTCGTACAATCCCTTGGCACTTCCCATCTCAGTCAAACATTACACTCACTTCTATGGATAACGAACCCTCCTTTCTATCGTCTTTGATACCCAGAGAGTGATACAAGGCTACGCAGAAGTCACATGTAGCACGTGGAGATCTCTCGAAAACGCGCGCCTTCCGTGATTCCCACACGTATTCCGTAAAGGCTAGGTCTTCACCATATGGTACCGCGATCCAGTCTGTGATCTCGAGGCAAGACTCACAGAGGTCCATTATTAAAAGAACACCTGAAATGGTGCGGTGTAGTTTGCGGTAACGTAGATGTGGATGGATTGCGATTAACTGGGGCGCCCCGGCGGAGGCTGCAAATTCAAGAGCTGAAGGTTCCTCGTTTCCAGTAAAGCATGGAAAGCTGTTGGGATGGCCTCATAAGATATTTATTGAGACATCAGGCTGCCACGATCAGGCTGAGACGCAACCAGTGTACGTCATATGCAAGTCCCGTCCAAGCCTTGATTGGTCATCGTGAATACGGTGGAGGCGCAGCGCTAGTCTCTCGGTATTGGACAGGATTGTCTCAGGTGGGAACTGGAACGTAAATGGTGGGAATGATGAAAAGAATCGTGTATAGGAAGGGCCTCATTTTCTTCTGTGGTGCAGATAGAAGCGACGGTTAGGACTTCGCAGAGCCTTTCGGCAGCAAGGGCACCAATCATATCTTCCACAACTAAACACGTGCAACGTCGCTATGCACTGAGAAGTCTTACTATTGCGCTGTCACGCAAGCCGCCCGTAGTAAAAAAATTGTCTTTTTCTAGATCCCAGGGACCAAATTCACTTCTCCACAAAACCCACCCACTCATTGCTCAATTTCCACAGCTTCGCCTCGTTTTCCGGATCATAAGCCCACTCCGCATACCCAGCGTCCAGGTCGCCGCCGCCTTCCTTCAAAGGCTTGCTGACCTGACAGTCTTCAAGATACTTCCCGCCCGTCCCTTCCCACACTTTTCCAATCGCAGCCCACAGAGTAGTTGCTGCACCTTGCTCTACAGACTTCATATAATTTCGGAAAGGCTCGTGCACCATGTACTTCTCGACTTCACTGTGGTCCATTATCGCAGTCAGGATGACGCCAGGATGGACTGAAAGCGCGTGTAGACCTTGGTTGCCGTACCGTCGCTCGATCTCGTTGGCGAACCAGATATTCGCTGTCTTGGAATGTGCGTAAGCATGGATAGGATCGTATTCGCCCGTCAACATCAGGTTGTCCATCTTCGGAGGGAACGAGCGGTGGGCCATGGAGGAAAGACTCACGACCCTGCTCTGGAATGCTGGGGTCGAAGAGCTCAGCAACGCGGGCTTGACAAGCTGGAAGAGTAGAAAGTGTGCGAGGTGATTGGTGCCGAATTGCGATTCAAACCCGTCCGCGGTTTTGTCTTCGGGTTTGGCCATAATGCCTGCGTTGGTGACGAGGACATTAAGCTTGTTGCCGCTGGTTTCGAGGAATTCAGCTGCACATTTTCGCACCGATGCCAGAGAGTTGAGATCCAGCAGCAGCATATCAACTTTGCCAGGCTCTAAGATTTCATCCAAGGCGTTATGGCCTTTGGACAGATCACGGACAGTCAGGAACAGGCGAGCGCCGGTGGCCTTCAATACGCGAGCAGTTTCGATGCCGAGCCCACTGCTGCATCCCGTGATCAAGATGGTCTTGTCGGTGAGTTTGCCTGTGTGCGAGAGATCAGATTGAAGACACCAAGGGTTTGAGACAAGGTACGCGTACCCTCTAGATCATTGTCTTTGACGATCTGTAATGCTGTAGGTCGGGCATCTCCTGCCCCTTTGAGCTCTTTGTGAACATCTGCATATCGTGTAAATTCTGGGGTGTTATAGTCGGCCATGTTGTGTGCTGGAGAAGAGTAATACCAAGCACTCAATTGGAAGCAGTAGATGAAGATGTTGGAAAGAGTATGTACTGCACTAGAAGCTTGCTTGGTGTAGAGTGCTGTAGAAAGAAAAGGATTCTGCCATCTTTATACTCGTCTACCTTCTGATCATCGATGCGTCCCTGACAGCAAGTCTGCGCCAAGTGTGATTATGCGATACAAGGCCGGACATAGGAGTCAAGAATCTCCGGACAACTGTCTGATGTCATTCTCTTGGGGAGACAGTTTCAAGCTCAGCAGGCGTGCTTGCTACCCCCTGTTCAGCTGCGGAGTCCTCAACACAGATTAATGATGTGTAAGCTCATAGAACATGGTGGCGGACCAAATGCGGATGCAGGTAGTCGGGCCGGCATGATTGCTTTCACTACTATGTTTCGATACATGTCTCGTGAAGGGCCGATACGGAGGATGCGGAGGATACGGGGGATGCGGGGATATACAGCTGGTCAGAGAATGTGTTCGGGCATGGATGAGTTAGGAAACGTAATGAAAGAAAGCCTGGTTGTGGTATGGAAGACCTCGTGAAGGTACAGGCGGTCAATTGTACGTAACGTCGTCGATTTCGCGGGACAGCGAGGCTGGCTGCATGGAACCAGATACGTCTGCGAATGGCGGCACTTACAGATGAAACGAGGGGCCGAATTTGGCGAGCTGTTTTGCCGCAGAAATAGCTATGGGTCCCTGTGATCTTCAGATTGCTGCGCTGTCACTTGAAATCCACGGATGTCGTCTGAGCGGGTGAGGTAGGCGCCATGGTGTTTTTGCGGAGATTCGGCGTTTAGGACGCGGCACGTGCACGCTAGTGGAACATCCGATCGCAAAGTTCAGAAAAGTTGCGGACGCCAACACCAAAAGTCTGCGAATCCCCACAACCACAAAGATGCCGTCCACACACAAGAAGGAGAAGCCCTGGGATACCGACGACATTGACAAGTGGAAGGTACGCCACTTAACACTATGCGCGCACGTTACTCGGCCCTAACAAGTGCCCAGATTGAGCCTTTCAAGCCTGAAGACAACACCGCTGGTGCTTTTACAGACGAGTCGCGTTTCTCTACACTGTTTCCCAAGTATCGCGAACAATATCTGAAGGGGTCCTGGAAGTTCATTACTCAGGCACTCGCGAAACATGGTGTGGGCTGCGAGCTCAACTTGGTGGAGGGCTCCATGACAGTATGGACAACGCAAAAGACCTACGATCCGGCCGCGATATTGAACGCACGTGATCTCATCAAGCTTCTCGCCAGGAGCGTACCAGCGCCGCAAGCAGTCAAAATCCTCGACGACGAAGTCGCCATGGACATCATAAAGATTCGAAATCTGGTTGGCAACAAGGAGCGGTTTGTGAAGAGGCGGCAGCGTATACTGGGTCCCAACGGCTCAACTCTGAAGGCGTTGGAGCTGCTGACGGAGACATATCTGCTGGTACAAGGAAACACAGTCGCGGCAATGGGTCCTTTCAAAGGACTCAAGACGGTGCGACGCATCATCGAAGACACCATGCACAACATACATCCTATATACGCCATCAAGGAGCTCATGATCAAGAAGGAGCTGGCAAAAGACCCAGAACTAGTCAACGAGAGCTGGGATCGCTTCCTGCCCAACTTCAAGAAACGGTCCCTCAGCAAGCGACGAGTACCGCACAAGGTCACAGATAAGGCGAAGAAGGTCTACACGCCGTTTCCTCCGCCGCAGGAGAAGAGCAAGGTCGACTTGCAGATCGAGAGTGGAGAATACTTTTTGGGCAAACACGCCAAGGAGCGCAAGGCGAGGGAGGAGCGGGAGGACAAGATGAAAGACAAGATGGATGCGAAGCGGAGGGAGCGCATGGCTGAGTACGTCGCTCCCGCGGAGGATGGCGAGAAGAAGAAAAAGAAGCGGAAACGGGAAGAAGGCGAGGAAAAGAAGGACAAAAGGAAGAAGCGCACTTCTGTCGAGGCCAATGGCGATGCAGAGTAATCGCTCGTCGTGTCTATTGGTTGCCCTTGAGCCCATAGTTCGGCTCGTTGAAGCAGAGTAGTGCCAGCAGGTGATGCCGCCACTACAGCTTCTGTAAACATACAGGAACAGGCGCTTCAAGCATTGACAGGTGTTCAGGTTAGCTATTTGCAGTTCAAATACCCAATCTTTTTCATAAGAAGTTCGCATCATATTCCATTGTTGTCTTGGCTGATGCTTCCAGACCTGACTCAGCAAGTTCTTGGTGTGCTATATTTAGCGCGATGCTCAAACATCTCACGTCTCGAGAGGCGTTGCCGCGTTGTGATTAGCATTACGAGCCACGATCTCGAAAAATCCTTCAACCATACTCTTGCCTGATTTTCCGCCTGGTGCTTTTTGCCCTTATACGTTATGCATACTCACGCGCACCTTCTTTTACACTTGGGAGCCGCCACAGCCACCCTAGCCACACATGTCACATTAGATCGGCAATGCTGGATCGAACACACTATAATATCATCAGACTACTACACTTCTAAGAATGGGCAAGAATACATATCCCCGATCCCAGCATACCTTCAAAAACAAGTAGAAGACTACACACCCTGGTCCCACGCCCCAATCTGCACCCCCAAACTCCCCAGCATCAACGATGTCCTATGCATCTACACATCCACATCATTCAGCAACGGACGAGGTATATCAATCTTCACCACACCCCCAGCATCCAAGGACTTCGCCGCCCTACCCGCCTTCCAAAACCCATCTCTGCTAGAAGCCCGCGCTATCAATGTCCCAACAAACACATCCCGCGCGACATCCATACCTAACAAGGGCATCGGACTCCTCGCCACCAAACCACTAAGCTTTAAAGACCGCATCACATCCCATACGCCCGTGTTCCTCGCCTATCTAGAAGGCGAACTCAGCACCTTGGACCGCGAGAACTGGTGGCGCCGTGCGATCCACCAACTACCCGTCAAAAGCCGCGAGGAATTTCTGGCTCTGGCGTATGTTTTTGGCGACGAGAGGGTGAGGGTGCAGGATATCGTCAAGGCGAATACGTTTCAGGTGGAGGTGGGGGGTGTGAATCATTTGGCGATTTTCCCAGAGACGAGTCGGTTGAATCACGCGTGTAATGCCAAGTAAGTTATATGTCGTGGTGTGGGTTAGGAGATGTGGAAAGGATAGCATGCTGATGAGAAGGTGTAGTGCGCAGTACATTATTGATACGGAGTTGTTGTCGCATACTGTACATGCTACACGGCCGATTGAGGAGGGCGAGGAGATTACGATTTCGTGTGAGTACGACGCGACTGTAACTGAGCAAGGAAGCTGATAAGACAGATACATCTCCATTGGACCCCATCGCTATCCGCCAGCAGAAACTTCAATCTGGCTTCCATTTCACCTGTACATGTCCGCGGTGTTCTTCCGCTTCTTCGGACGACACCTTGATGAACATGAAGAACCTGCAAGACCAGCTCAACGACTGGTCGCCTGAATCTGAAGGCTCGCCTAAAGTCGCGGAGAAGCTCTTGCAGTTGTATCGCGACGAGAGTCTTGAGGGCTTTATGGATGTGGCGTATGGGTTTACCGCACTGGCGTACAGTGCTGCTGGCGATGCAGCCGGGGCGCTCAAGTATGCGGAGATGGCGAAGGAGGCGGTTTTGATGAAAGACGGCTTGTGGAGCGCAAATCTGCAGATTTGGGAAGAGATGTTGGCGGATCTGAAGGAGCATTGGAGTTGGCGCCGGAGGCTGTGAGCGATTCCTGAGATTCCAACTCATCAAGCTTGTCCAGGCCCTGCGCATGGATGTGATTATTTCCGTCAATGGTACTATTGCTGCTTGAGCTTGGTATTGGTATGCGCTGGTCTGACGTAGCACCAGCCTGGGGTTTCCAGGTTTCCCTCCTTTCAAGTCTAGGGCGCCGACCATCGTAGGCTTCTGGTGGTGTAGGATATGATACAGAATGTCGTGAGGGTGTCCCACTGAACTCGACCTCGACGAATTGATTTAGTTCGGGGATCATCCAAGGACACCGCGTGGCCGTAGCTTCACTGATGAGCTCCTTCTTCTGCTGGTCTGTCAACGTTATTTTACCTGATGAGCGAAGTAATCTTAACGCTAGCAAGTTCTTCCTCCTCAACGCTTCTATCACAGGATGTCGATGAGGGGCGCCCAGTTCAATCTTTGCTTCCTTTAGCAGATACTCGATCATATCAAGGTCATCACCCGAAATAGCACACGCAAGCAATCCTCTTCCAGACTGGCAAATATGCGAAAATTTGATGTCGTGTTCAAAACTTGTCACCTGGTTGACTTTAGTCGTTCTATGAGAACTACGACGGCTCTGGAATGCTTGGATGTGGCCTGTATAGGCTGCGTAGCAGAGGACATGCTCACTTGTCGAAGACGAAGTGTTGCCTAAATCTTGGTACGAGAATCTTTCGTGTAACATGTCAACAAGTCGCTGATGTCCTTTGCAAACAGCAAGAGAAGTTGGGCTGTGAGTGATGTTCCGTCCTTGGTACTGTCCGACAAAGTTACTGTCGAAAAATGTATGGACACTAGATCCCAGCAGAAGGCTTAGGAAATGCTCATTGTTCTCTTCCACGGCTTTGAAGAACGCCAATTTAGGTGAGAGCTTTGATTCGTCGTCATGCGCATTTCGCTCGAGCAAAGAACGAAGCAAACTCGGAATGTGTTCTCCGTAATCGATACGATGTGCAGCGCACACATGGTCTAAACACCATCGTCCAGCATAATGTACGAATAGGAATTCGTCGATCTTGTAAGCCTTGTTCAATACCATGCAATCTGAGAGTGTCCTGCCAATGTCAAAATTGCTTTGAGCTTTTCGAGAAAGTAGTTTCAAAGCCAGTGATTGGATGTTTTTTGACGATTCAAACGCACTTCGCATCACCCTTGATGTAGCTTTGCCACCGTCTATCTGTGGCACGCGATAGCTCGATACTCGACTGTCGAAAATACCATAGCTTAGATATGTGACGATGACATCAGCCATAGCTCGATGACACGCTGCGATCGCGTGGTCCTCGGCTCTGTCGCTAACTGGTGTGACTTCCAAAACACATGCTCGAACGAAGTACTCGCGTACGCTTGGATGAACAAACCGCACGGCAAAATCCTCTTCGTCCACATAAATAAGGCATCCACAGGTCGCCAGTATTGAGTGAATGTCATTCACGAGCTTACTAGCCACAAATTCAGTTCGCCCCGGGACAACGCTCAAGACCTCTCGCATCTCTTCGACTTGGAGTGGGCGCTGCGCCACAGTGATAAGCTGCAATATGAGTTCTTGGTAGGCCTTTTTCTTCCCTTGTACTCTGGACAAGATGCGGCGGTATGTTTCAGTAAGATCTGATGGCAGATCGTCCAGGGCCGAGGCAATATCGTCGTCAGTTTCTAGACAGCAGAGGGTCTGAATCTGTAGAACTACCCATAGAAACATTCCGCCCGAGCCTTCGAGCAGGGCGTCTCGTATCTTCAGAATTAGCGCTGCATCCCCCAATTGTAACGAACCAATTTGTAGACAACGCATCAACTCCATTTCGACGAAAGATGAGATGTCTAAAGTATTGTCAGGCATCAAGACGACTTCTACTTTGCCGCAGATGATTTTTCAATACCACATCAGTCCTAAGAATGGGTGCTTGACGTTGCGATATACACGATCGCACACAAAAGTCGTTCTCCAACTCTTCCAAGAACTCGATTACTTTCATTCCATCTTCTTGGGAGCAGAGATCCAGGCCGTCCAGGATCACCCAGATCTGATTATCCATTGAGTAACAGCTCTTTAGGAGTGAGCACATAGCTGAGACATCCAGATGTCGGTTATAAGCGTCATCGGTATCCAGTGGTGTATGTTCTGTCGATTCGAGTAATTGTCGAATTAAAGATCCTATTATGTTGCGAGCTTTGAGACTTTCGGGAATATCGTGTCTGGTAAAGAAGTATATGACTGGTGAGTCATGGTCTAATGCTGAGAGAATGAGCTCATCAACCATGTTTGCCAATGTGACGGACTTTCCACAACCTAGTTTGCCAACGTAAAGTAAAGCACCAGACTGAGATCTGGATTTCCAACTTTTGTACTGATCACTCTGCGCAAATGTTGAAGTGCTGCCGCTCTTGCGGATCTGCTTCCAGGTGGTTCTGTGGTCATACTTCGAGCATCTGTCCAAAGTACGCAATCTTGTCACTAGCCGTTGTTGCTCAGCCATCACCTTCGAAAACTTTGTCGAAGCTCGTCGAAATCGTGAGCTTTCTAAAGCCTCTTCTTCGATTCGTTTGGCGACTACCAGGGATAACTCATCATTGATTTCTTGCGCCCAGCGAGCAAGATCTCGGCGAGTTTCTTGTATCCTGTCAGTACTCAAAGTCCCGGTGACCTGACGGAACGTAGACTTTTGCGCGTAGCGGAACAATTCATGACAGAAGCGTACTACAATGATAAAATACTCGTTGATGTTCGCTTGTAGGCGCTTCGATTGAGGGTAGACCAGGGCTAATTCTTGATGGCGAGGACTTGATCGGCCAATCTCCATAAAGAAAATGGATATACTCTCGATATACGAAGAGTATTTCGTGATTGCCTGGGCACTAGTTAGCCACACACTTTCGCTCTCTGGTAGTCCTTTGCGAAGACATCCCAGTAAACATGACACTCACGAGAATTGACATGCGCACTACCGACCAAATGCCACACGCAATGATGTTCTGAGATCCGCCCACGATCACATCACCGAGTGCAGCAAACTGCTGGACACTGCTGAGAAAGTTCGTGAAACGTGGCCCAAGGCATCTTCTTGCTTTGCCTGGGATAAAAAGATCGATTTGAGCTGTGACATGCATGACATCAGCTGTAACAGGCGCAGACTGGCGTGCTTGTGATCTCTGTGTGCGGAATAGGGCCTTGTCGTCAGGTGAAAGGCTCGCTTCAAACTGAGAGATTGCTTCTGCTAAACGTAGATCAGGCTTTAGGCTTGCGGCGTTCGATAGGATCATATTCATGGTTGTATCGCTATTCCATCGCTAATCGCCGCGATACAGGCGCTCAGCTGAAGTGCGCGCGACACACAATCGGATCGAGAAACGAAGATAAGCTGACGGTCAATGCTGTGAGGAAGAACCTTCAAATTGATCAGCCTGGAAGTCTGACACATCCCCGGTGGCATTGAGGTATGCTCATTGGTTGAAGACTGCAGGTAGCTTATCCACCCGCGGCATTGCCAGCGCCCAACCACTGTGACTATTCCGAGTCATCCTCCCAGAAGGCTCCAACTCCAACCCAGATCTGGTAATTCTGGAATGATCCGACTTTGGAGGTACAGGGCAGAAAACGTATTGGACAGGAATGCTAGCCGGATGACCTTTGGAGGGGATGGCGTCACAAACACTGCCCCTTCGCGAGCTTTTGACCTCCTTCACCATGGCCCATTTCTCTCGCGATGATTCAACATAGATATCTGCTCTGGAACCTTCAGCAAATGTAGTCGTACTTCAATCATATAACAACTCTTTTCCTGACCAAACCTAAGTGCATTGACCAACCAAGTGATAGCTCGTGACAAATTGTGTCTAACGGTTCATTCTAGTCAATTCCAGCATGACTTCACGAATAAAGTGTACAAACGCACCGCAAAGCTTGCTCGCTTTGTTTGATGTGCGCCCAATTCATGCATATAAACTCCCTGCACTAGGCAACTTATCCTGCAAACACCCTGGTTCCGAGCTGCGATATCATCGCAACCCAACACTGACCATGAGAAACGAACTTGATGTCCTAACGTCCCTGATACGTCGTAGGTTCTATTCCCTTTTCTTTCTGACAAGACTGACCAATTCAGACAATCTGAATGCGATAGGTCCTCAGTACAAGGACAATGGTTTTGAACTATTCACGACACGAGACGACTCACAACAGCAACACCGAGTCACAGGATGGGCGGTAGCATTGCCTTACGACGATTGCTCCGATTGGAAACCTGTAGTACGTGGGCAGCCGCAAGTTGATGCGATGGAAGCGATGAGAGATCTACATCATGCGACTGAGAGGATGTTGCACGCTATAACTGGTACGCGTCCACGTGCTTTCCGATTGGGCAAGTGCTAACCGGTGGTAGGTAGAGCGGCGGCAGGAATGTGCTGGGATGGAGAGGAATGGATCAATGAGGTGCATGCAAAGGAGGACGCCAAAGAGGAGTAGGAACAATCGTGGATCGGGATGCGACAAGATCTAGGCTTCAGATTTGAATAGAAAGCGAACACGGCCCTTTTCGGCAAGGGTTGCAAATGGCGGGCATACATCAAGATCACTCTTAACTCTACTCCTTGTACTTCTGATCATGGAACCCAGCCAGTACCTCGACCTTTCCATCGCCCCTCTCGGCCCACCTCTTCGCCGCAATATCTGGATTGAGCTGCAGCGTCTGCTTCGCCCTTACCCACTCTTCCATCGTGACAATTTTGTCAAACCTCGGCTTCACGCCTGCCTTCTCCAACACTGGCGAGTCAGTGATTGGCAGTAGCTTGGTGTCATTGTGTGGGCGCGCGAAGTATAACAGGCCTGTGCGCTCATACTCCCGCTGGTCCTGAGGAGGCGCGCTAACACGGTGAACGGAAGACTTCAACCAGCCACCTGTAAGATGCGAGATTGTGTCTGCGAGATTGACGGTGATGGTGCCAGGCTGCGCGCTGACCCATGTCCAGTTACCATCTTCGCCGAGGATCTGGAGACCGGCTACTGGTTGGCGGAATAAGAGCGTTACGGTGCCGAGATCAGTGTGTCCGCCTGTTGAGCCATAATTTGCCTCTTTCCATTCTTGCTCAGTGCGCGGGTGGTATATCATGTAGCGGAAGTGATCTTCGGACTTCTTCTCGAATGTGTGCTGCTTGACAAGGTACTCCTCATCAGGTAGCTGTAGTACGATAGCGAACAGTCGCAACAGGGGAAGAACTACGTTGGAGTGGAGTGCCTTTTGGAAAACCTCAATCTCCGGTAGGTGCGCTTTGAGCAAGTCTGGCTGATCGTACTTGCCCTTGAAGTCGTCAGTGAATTTGGGAATGTTGTAGATCTCGATGTTGTCCTGGGCTTTCGCAACGAGGGAGCGACCCGGTCGGCGCCAGCCATTGTAGTCGGCTGCGGCGTAATTACACTCGTACTTCTCCTTCTCGGATACTGGAAGCTGAAAGAAATGTTTCGCCAGTGTGAACTGTTGGTCAACCTGCTCTTGGGTAAGGCCAAAGTTTTTGACGTAAAACTAGTCTTAGGTCAGTTTTCTTATTCGGCAAGAAATTTGCCTGATGTACATACAAAGCCAACATGGTGAACGGCATGTTCTAACTGCTTTGCAAGTCGCTCTTTGCCGGCCGGGGCGACCGTAGTCCTCAAGGTCAAGTGTTACAAGCTCCGACCATGGCAGGTCTTCCTTGGTCTCGGGTGGGTGCACATAAGGCTCGAGCTTTTCAAAGCTATATTTTGAGAAGTCTGGGGTGTTGGTCGCTTGGGAAGCAGTCTGTTGAATTGTTGTGGTAGCCATGTTGAGGATGATTGAATCGGTCTCGGGGAAATGCCAATGCACCTAGGTAGTACGACAAGCTTGTTCAAGACACGCAGACTTGTTCACCTCAATATATAACTTCTTGGTTGCGAAAACGGAGGGTTAAGCTTGGTGTTCGATAACGTGGGGAATCGCAGCGATCTCATCAATCAACCCCTCAATGTCGTGATCGCAATGCCGGAAACGTGTATCCGCAATGGTCGGTAATGCATGTTTGCACAGATACTGAGGATCTTGCAGCACAAGCTTAGGCCGTAGAGCAATTCCCGGAGATATCGCGTGGGATTAGAGAAAGATGGTGGATGCGTCTTTCACGCACTGGTCGCGAACCCCTGCAGCGGTTATGTTAGCGCTGTCCCTAGATGTCGCCATAGACTCCTCATATCACGAAACACTACCCAACATGTCAACTTGACATGCCCTGTTCACACAGTTTTGGTGACCTGACTCGTGCCGTCGAATCGGAAGGGTACGATTATCTTGCATACCGGTGCCACGCCCTCGCAGTGTTGCGTCGGCTGCAATTCTCGAAGCTGACTACATGCAGGTCTTGCAGTGAAGGGCCTTCTGAGCCAGGATCCATATGGCATGTACTCGTCTCGAGGATTAGCTCTTCGCCATCCCCTTGCAAAAGTCCCGAAGATACTCCTTAGACATAGAGTGGATCGGCTGAAGTGAAGCGTTGCGATGATGGCAGAAATGTCTTGATCGCGCAATAAGCCATGGCAGTTCTTGGGGACATTTCATCCATGGCAAGATGATGTATATATGGAACTCAGCGTAGTCGCGGTACTCGTTGACAACATTACTACATTTTTGGTAGATACGGACGACAATGAGCGCCAAAGACCCAGCAGATGCTCAGGCTAGCGAGCTGACGCGCACTGCATCGTCAACGGACTTGTCCCAAGCGACGCCTGTGTCTCCAAAACCTTGGGAAAAGCCAGGACCGATTGGAAAAGCTCGTCGAGCCCTTCGAACGATTCAGCGATATGTCTGGGACGACCCAGACAAACCTAAAGAAGAAAGATGGTTTCTCTTCAAGCTTGACATTTTCCTCTTGACGGCCGCATGCCTAGGCTATTTCAGTAAGAATCTGGATCAACAGAACGTCGGCAACGCATACGTCTCGGGCGTGAGTGCACAAGAGAGATGTACTGTTGCAACATACTTACAATTACGCAGATGAAAGAAGCGCTGAACATGCATGGTAGCGAGCTGACTTATGCTGGTAACTGCTTTACCGCCGGGTATGTTATCGGTCAGATGCCTGCTGTCATGCTCGCAACTCGAGTGCGACCCTCGATTCTCATACCACTTCTTGAGATCTTGTGGTCCATCTTGACCTTCTGCTCTTCTTCCATCACGAGTGTCCCTCAGCTCTACGCCATTCGGTTCTTGGTCGGACTATGCGAGAGCGGATACTTCCCGGTCATGATAGTAAGTGTGGCCATGCCCCGCAGCCATATTGAACCTCTCTAACTGAGCGTAGTATCTTGTCGGCAGTTGGTACACGAAAGAAGAACGAGGCAAGCGGGTAGGCCTGTTTTACTGCACAGCGGCCTTGGCGGGCATGTTCAGTGGCTACCTCCAAGCCGGTGCATATAGCGGACTAAATGGTGTGTACGGCAAAGAGGGTTGGCAATGGCTGTTCATTGTGTGTGGAATCATATCTTTGCCAATTGCCTTCTTGGGCTTTGCATTCATTCCAGACTTTCCGGAGACGACCCGCGCCTTTTACATTACCAAAGAAGAAGCAGAACGACAATGTAAGCGATTAGCAGCCGAGGGGCAGAAACCGCTCGGACACAACCCATGGAACCGAAAGAAATTTTTCGGCATCGCAAAGCAGTGGCAGTTTTGGGTGCTTCCGCTCGGCTACTGGTTCGTACAGAGCAGTTTTCCAAGCTACCAGCCTATCATGGGTTTGTGGCTCAAAGCGAACGGCCGGTCCGTGTACGAGAGGAATGTTTGGCCCACTGGACAAGTCGCCGTCGGTGTCGTTGTACAACTTGTAGCTGGCGCTCTATCCGACTCCCCACTGCTCAAAGGACGTCGCTGGCCAGTCATTATCGTCATGCAAGCGGGCACGCTCATTGGCATGATCATCCTGGCCGTTTGGGATGTTTCCAAGAACGTCAAGTATTTCGCATACTACATTGCGTACTTTTCAGCTGGTGTTCCTGGCCCGTACTACGCGTGGTACAGCGACCTCATCCCACACGATCATGAGATGCGTGGCTTCGTGATTGCAGCATCGAATATGTTCAGCTACATCATGTCGATATGGTATACTATTGCCGTATGGAGAACAGCAGACGCGCCTCGATTCAAAGCAGGTTTCATAGCAGCTTCAGTACTCGGTGCAGCGATGATTTCGCTGACGCTGATCTTGAGGCTCCTGCAGCGCAAAGATGACACGCGTCGCGCGCGTCAGGAAGAGGGACGAAGCGACATCGAGGAGCCCGAACTTGCAATCGGAGAAACGAGCCAGTTGGGTGACAAGAATACCACAAAGGCGAATTGAGCGTAGAGGATCGTTGGTGGTGTTGGGAAGACATCGACGTGGGGCCAAAAAGGATGCACCAATCAGGAGGGCTGTGATGTGAAATTTAGGCGACCGTGAACCTTCAGTTCTTGCTGCCAGACATTTACATGATTTCGAACAAGAATATGAAGTTTTACTCATCGGAGATTTCACACAACAGGTGCGACATGTACCTAGATACGCTTGCCTGTTTGCTGTCCTACAATGAAGCACTTGCGCTGTCTGTGTCGGCCTTGTCGTGATCGCGCTTCTCGACTTCAAAACTTTGACAAATGGCTGGAAGTGACGATCGCGCTCAAATTCGTAACTATAGATTTTCTAATGACTTGATTTTCATGCTAGCGTTCACAAAACGATTGTGATGGGCACTGATACCTCAAGCATAGAGCGTTGACATGACGAGAATTCACGCCACCTGCATTACTTTGATATCGCTTTTGGGAATCATCATCAATTTCTCCTTTTCTCATGCTTTCCTCAGCCATCAACAACGCAGTCCTGATTAACAGCACAACACATTGTAAAACAATATGCCTAGAAACTTGATGCACGGCTTTTCTCGGAAGAAAGTCGAAATAGCAAAGGACCTAAAGGACATCATCATATGTAAGTTCACGCACTAATTCCTAGATATAAGTAACTAACTCAACGACCTAGCCCAACTCCAAGCAGTGTTTGGATTCGGCAACAATTTGGGCAGCTTCGACGTCATTCACCTTAAATTCAATTCCGCATTTATCGCTCGCGCTATAGCCTATCCAGTAAACTGTAACGGCTCGAACGGAATCTCTTCCTGGTTTAAAGTATTGGATGGTTACAGTACAGAAGGCGTCGTGCATGCGCTTGAGGACCTTTGGGATGAAATGCAGGCTCAAATCGGCCCGAACTTCCAAGTGTGTTGTTATAAATCTGGACGAGTGGTAGGTATCAACCGTTTCTACAGCTATCAGTATCGGAGACTAGGCGAGCCGCAGATATCAGTGTGACTACTTCCGATTAAAGAGCACTGCTGAATCGACTACTAGATCGACTGCTAGATCAGCTGCCGGATTAAGTAGCCGAAATTGATCGCATGTCCGCCAGAAACTTTTTACCTCTGAGTTTTGAGACTTACGTTGAATCTCGGTGTAACTTGTTGGCTCGATACAGACGATGCGTCAGTGTTCTAATATTGCGTCAACACTACTAGGTAAACACAAAAGCCACACAACAACAGACATTGAATTACTTTATAAACTGTTTGTCATGAAGCTGGGTACGCTTCTCGATTCATCTGCCCTGATGTGTTTCGGATCGTCCATGGGTAGAAACTTGGCTACGCTACAGGTGTTTGATTGACAAAGATACATTGCCGACCACAGTCCTTCTTTGATCGTGACATGCCAGGCTTCACAGAATGAGCAGAGAGTCTAACCCACCCTGCCTCGTCTGGCGTGTGATTGCTCAGCCGGTGCACTGGTAATCGTAGTTCATATGGGAAGCATCCGTGTTCTTTGGTACCCAAGTCATAACCTTCTGTCTAGTCCACTCGAGGGTACCTGAGTATTCGTCGAAGCACCAAGCACCTAAGACTGCGTTTGACATCATTTTCGTGACAAAATTCATTCGGTTTGAGAATGTTATCATAGCACGTGCTATCATGTACTCAGGTTCCAGGACCTCAGCGGACAGCGTCCAGTCTTCCCCGTGTTTTGAGGTGCTGGAAAGCAGCATTGCTAAGACCAACTTTCCGGATGCTTTGGACAATCTCTGGAACAAGCTTCAGGCTTCAATCGCTGAAGACGAGCTACTCAAATGTAACGATCTTGAGGTCCTAGATGGTCACTTCAGCTAATCAGTACGATAGTCGCCAAGGGAGAGATCGAGCTGGATGAATAGGGGATAATATAGATAAAGGCAATCACGATTGGGAGGGATGCTTCACGGTACACTGGAATTAGACTCATCACACGTGTGACTTGATAGCATAATCGATATATGCACTTCCCACATGACCCCTTTAACAACTCCGCGTCAGCGGCTTATAGTTCATCCAACATGAAGAAAGAAATTCCCACGCTTTCCACCTCAAAGACAACACCTCGTATATGAGTACCGGCGTAATTTTGAGTCGAGAAGGTGTGTAAACCTTGACAGCCAACAGTGCAATGTTTCAACTTGTAAGATTTCTAGGGGATTAACACCAGAATTCCGAGAAGTATGATCACATTTGAGGTTTGCATCTTATTTCGACCTCCTGAGGCCTCGCGACTCAGTCTACAGACTTTACTCATGGTGTGTAACAAATTCGCTGACCCATGCAGGGACCACCGATAGGAAATGCTCGGATCGGCGCTCCCCGGGGCAAATTGCAGCGTACGAGTTACGCGATGTTGGCCATCTCGAGGCCCGTTGATGAACCTTGACAGCGCAAATGGATTTTGACTCACAACAGAAGATCTTCGCGTAATGTTACCATCGATCAGTGAGTCTTATGTGTATCTTCGACACAGCATCAGCCATCACATGTCCCCACTTCAATGAAATTGACGTCGGCAAAGCTCAAGCCATCACTTGTGCGACCATTCGCATTGGCCAATACCCAACACCAACACCAAAACCACAGTCTGGGGTCGGAGATTCAATGAACCTTGCGCAATCTAGCAGACGTAGTGATTGATATACGACCAATGCTGGACGATTGGTTACGCCACCCTTTCGCTACCGGTATCCACCACCTACTTGGCTTTGCAAAGCAGCTCCCGCAACGACTCAACGAGATGCTTATTGGGCTGGTGGTCGATCCCTTTATCAGCCCTCGGCTGTACTTTAGATACCCTTACAGTCGTTACCTTTGATTCTGAAGAAGAATTATTCACACTTTATGTCATCGACCTTAATTTCTCGACTGACGTTACTACGATGCATTAGCGAGCGCTCATGATCAAGTTCGCAAATACTTAAACCTAATCATGCTCGACGGACCCGCGAGGTTCAACGAGCTGGAGGACGAGAATGGATCTTGGTGGATGGTGGGGCAGCGCTTGCGGAAGCTATGTAATTTGCCCCACTAAAACTTTAATCAATGCTCGTCACTCCACCACGATTCTACCACAACCAGCTACCCGAAACACATCACAATAGTCGTCAAGCTACATCTTGTACAAGGGCCTTGCGAACACGTCTACCTCAACCTCCAACGAACCCAAACAGCCGCGACTCACCCGCAATGTCGCACGAATCCCACCCCATAACCCTCACGCGCTTCGCCTCCGCCCTCTCCGAACTCCCCATCGACGCCATCTACGGCAAATACGCCGAGCTCCGCAACAACATCGCGCACATGGAGTCGTCGAATAAACAGCTTGAAGACTTCGCGAGAGAGAACGATGATCGCGAGTGCTATGAGGCGCTGATGGAGAATAAGATGGTTATCAAGAGATTTGAGGAGAGGATCGAGGCGCTGAAGAGGGAAGGTGACTGAGGTTCGGGGATTGGTGTGGAGGATTGAGGGAGAGGAAGAGGTCAATCCGAGTGCGGGTGTGGCTGCAAATGGAGAGCCGAACGGTGCGCAGGCAAGGGAAGAGAGGAATGGGACCGGGGCTAGAGATGGTGGCGACGAGGATGGTGTCTTTCTGTGAGGGGAAAAGGAACAAGTGATAATATGTGACTCGGAGGGCTCTATGAACATGATTCGGGGAGCTGGATTCAGGAGAAGGCGTGCGATAAGCCGGCGAGCAGATGCGTCTGCGATTGACGTGGGGACGAGTGAGTGAAGAACCCTGCAGTAGACCGCCTGGGCTAATGCGGTTCAGTTTCAGGCTGCACAGCAACGCAGTCCCGGTCCGTTCATGAGTAACATGAAATTTGAGATGGGCGCGTACTCCGACTCAGATCCTCTTCGACCACGGTTATGTACAGGCTCAGAGATACATGTGCTTGTGTTTGCACACAGCAGATTTGTATAGGCAGACGAGCATCGACCATCAAACTATTCGTGGTCTTGGTCGTGGCCAGATCTTGTGTCGCAAGAGATATGGGCTAGAATTGCAACTCTTTCCCTCGAATTTTCAGGAACGACGCCTGGTCCTGTCTCCCTTCACGATATCAGGAAGTCATTTGCCGCCTTGTTCCTACTGAATCAAAGTGCGATACACATTGTAGTTCAGAGGATAGACTCGACAATATATGAAAAGTCTGGTACACAAAAGCTCAGGTGCATGCATTTAGTCGAATCAAAATCTGGTCAGGGAGACAATTGAGAATGAATCAATATACGCCCACACAACGATCGACGTACAACATTCTTCTCCACTTTTCCCGACCGTGCTTAATTTGTATCATGTACCCGCCAAGAATCAAAAGATATGCCGATTCACCACACATCTCCCTCGATCGCTTTGCAGCACAAGTTCTGGACACCTACTAATCGATGACTAACTAAAAGCGATCCTAGCTACTTTCGAGAATGCTTTTCAGACCGCTTAGAAAGGACGCTCAGGGTATTAAGTCTAAACCATCTCAAGATGTCTCATTTTGTAACATCAACTACAGTTGCAGAGCTCTAAATTTCTAATCAAGCATAGCGTCTACCAAGCGCAAATGTCTCCAGGCAAGGATATTCAGCTGCCGTGTTTTTATGTATATTATGTCAATCATAGCCTTTTTCCTGTCTTTCAGCAAGAGGCGCACGTTTATCTCTCATAAATTCTTAACATCGATGGTGGTGCGGGCATGCGAAAAAATCGAAAGGAAATCGAAACCGGTTGCAGCCTGCTTCGATACTTTTGACTCCGCTCTATAGTAAGCTTTGGATCTGCGAATTACGTTTTCTTTGCTGAATTTTCACTATAGCTACGTAGTCATCTTGATTGGCAGAACACACATCATGCCAACACGGGCGGCACATCAAACAAGTCTTCAGCCTCGAGACAACAGCAGCAATCGGCTGCAAGCTTCACGCATCAGAACATGAGATACCGATATCCACGAACGCCCTACATCCAATGGTCTATATCGAAGAAGGAGCTTTAAGGCTGAGACTAGTTCAGTTTATCTTCTTTGGTCGCGACACTCCTCAGCTAAACGATCCGCTTCTTGTAGTACCATATGGTGCCTGAAAGACACATGCGCTGCCTTTGATTTCACATACCTAGTATTACTACAAAAGTTGGCCACAATTTCTTCATGGTCCAGTTATCGGTGTTTCGCAATTCACTTTGTTCTTCATGGCGTCCACTTGTCGTCGAAGACTTGGATGCGTGTGAATCCTTTTTCGGCGACAACACTTGGCCCTACCGCCATTTTCGGATATGAACAGTAATTTAGATACCGCATTCTACTGTGGGCGAGTTCTTATCAAGGTACATGTGGAACAATCGATGGTTTGCTTGAGGCAGCCCCAGTTTAGTACGCTAACGCCCCTCTTCATCCACCAGACCAACGCCAAAGCTAATGTTTCTTATGCAGTTTGTACTGAAAGCTTGTTACGCGCCAGTGCAACTTAGTTAGGTCTCTCGCCATGGCCGCAGAGCTCATTATCTCGCACATCCGGGCGGGCACTGTTGCCTCGCACCACAGCACCCCAACACGGAACCATCATGGCACCGCCATCCCCAATGACAACAAGGCTGATACCACCTACACGCTTCATAGCACAAACCCTCGTCTCTGTGCTCGCCGTCCTCATCTCCCACTTCTTCCAACGATACGACGTGGTGTACATGAGCGGCTTCATCGCACCCTTTATCGTCATGCCTGTCGATATCGCGCTCATGCTTCTATCTTGTGCGCCACGCAGCAGTCCAAGCTATGACCGGTTCATTAGCTACTCTCTGGGATGGCTCTATCAATTCACCACCATCATTGGCAAATACGTCCTCGCTCCCGATACTGGCTTTACTCAGAGGCAGCACATCGCCGTACATTCAAGTCTTGTTTTCTTCATTCTTTCTGAGTTGGAGTTCTCTCGCGCGTACGTCAAGTTCAAGAACTATCATGAAGGCTTCGACGATTGGAAGCACTTTCTCCTCGCGAACGTCGAGCCTTACAAGGTCTTTTCTGTGTCGCGCGACCCATTCATACTTGGATACGAGGATTGTACCGACGGTTGGAATTTTTAGATTTCCTGCAAAACAACTTACTTGCAAATTGGGCAGTACATAATCTTCTTCTTCGCCAACGGGTTCGCGAATTTTCTGATCAAGCGCATCGTCAATCCGGGATCAATTGGATGGGACATTATGTTGACAGTGGGAAACGTGAACGTTTTATTCACTTCGGCCAGTGTCTGGGCGCTACTTTTGCAACTGGCGCTGTTGAGGGTGGCGAGGCAGGGAACTCATGTATCAGGCGGGTTCGTGATTGGTGAGACAATAAGAAGGTTAAAAGTGAGAAGTGAAGAGCACGAAGATTTGAGCGTCTATGATTCGAAAGAGATAAGCTGGGCGGAGATGGTCAAGTTTCAAGAATGAGTTGAGGAATGTTTGGAATCGATCGGGGGAGAGGAAAGCGGTCGACAAGACACGGGAAAGTATCCAGCGAGCACCAACGAGACACGGGGAAACACACAGCGAGCACCATAATAGAAACATGGTTGAGAATCGTACCGGTGTAATTCGAAGCGAATCGGGAGACATGAAATCTCGTATCGAAGTTTCCCATGCATTTGCTCCACCAACACCAGGTCCACGTATCGTTAGTATCGTCCCAACAACTCGATTCGAGCAGCAGCGAGGCCTGCAAAGACGCGAAAAGAAACTCAGTGACATACAACAGCTGACCGTCTCTAGTGCTCACCCACCTAACTACGATAGGTGCTGTTCCGGTACGTTGCTCAAATCGGCTTGAGCGAACGGGAAGCTCTTTTGACTCGTATATCGCCTATCGCCGAAGAACTCGAAGCTTACCGCAGTGGGCTACTATTAACTGAAATAATGGCATCAGAAATGTGCCGTTATCTTTGATGTCGGCAAGAGGTATCGCGTCGGCTCGCACGTGAGCTTGCTGACACTTGGCAGTCTGGCACGAGGATGTTGTTTCGCTCGATCTTTGCTCCGCCCGTTTCTTCATGTAAGCGGCCAAGCCTCGTGGTCATATGGATATCATGGCATCTCGATCACAGAAGGCGCATTCACTCTCACCGCATCCGGTCACATCCGATGGGGCTGTTAGAGTTCGAGCGAAACTTTGCTTCATTTCCTCCTGCTATGATCAAAGAGTGACAGATGATTTGGAATTCACTAATCTGGATGAAAAGCAGTTTCTCCCGTACCCACAATTCAATATTTCCAGTCCCGTTCTGTTGGTGTTGTAGACTCATGGTAGGGTATGTTCCGCCGGAGCTGATGACCTCAAGCTCGAACTACCGTATTTTCTCGTCCACGTTGTCGTCAGCTAGCAGGGAATGGCATATCTGTACCAACCTTATTGACACGTCCTTCTTTTCAATTAGCTGAAACTAGTCAAGTGCTCAGCCAAGCTTTGTGGAGAGACCAAGACTAGGCGTATTCGAGTCTAACGCGGCTCCCGCACCCTGCTAGCGTTCAACGTGGACGAGAATAGGTAATTTAACGGCTGTGTTTTCCGCGCTCCAACGACCAGTTGCTTGGGAGTAAGCAAATCGGGCCTTATTCATACTCACCATGACCCTGGGAACCACAGATCTAGATGCCGTTCCACGTTCTCGACTCGCTCGGAACCTACCAATCCTAGCTAATAAGAGGCTAGGCACTTCGCACCATTAATATCGACTTCGGTAATATTCTGCCATCAAGCCGAACTAGAGCGTTGTTTGAGGACATCCGGGCTGTTGTTGCGACTGGTAGTCATTGGCCAGCACCAATACGTTTAGTGTAATTGGGAATCTTCTGAGGTACCTAGGTAGAAACTCTTCCAGAAATGTAAAGCCAATATGCTTGCTCCATACTCAGTACGTTGCGATAATGTCTCGCCGCTTTTGAGTGACAGAACGCACCTATGAACGACTGAAAGTTACGAACGACAAACAGTTGACCGCCCTTTGGCATTAGGGTACTCCAAAATCAACACCTCGTTCGGCGGGTCTCCAAATCTCTTGGTACAAGACGCGGTGCGTGCTTTCTCGTGTAACTTCGGACCTTCGTCTAGTGTCCTTCTTCGGTGCCGATGGGCCGCGCCTACCGGTACTTCGTACGCGTCTTCTCAAACGAGGCTGTTGACATGACCTGGCAGTCATTTGACATATAAATACTATGTTCCTCTGCTTCTTACCAGATCATCATCAACACCATCACTCAATCACTCAGTCACATCAACCCCAACCGAACTCCAACTTCTCTCCACAAAATGAAGCTCATTACACTCATCGCAACTTTTATCGCCGTTACGGCTGCTGTTGCTGTACCAGCCGAGCTCCAGGAGCGCCAATGTATTTTCAACGGATGTAAGTATACGTCCATTCCAGCGAACATTCCCACATACTAACAAACATAGTGGGTTGCGACGTTTTGAATAATCGATGCTGCTCACGTAATTGCGAATGTATGAAAACAAGTACCCCAACCCCATGATACACTTTAAGATTAACTATTTGATAGCTTCTGTATGCGGAGGTCGGACCTTTACATGCCAGCCTCAAACTACCGGATGCTCCCCGCCAGTGCCAGGGTCATAGATCATGCAGGGTCTGAGCATAGTTGGAGATTTACGACGTGGCGCAGTGCTCAACGCAACTGAGTTTGGAAAATAGACGGGTCTTCTCTTCGCATTTCTAGCATAGAAAATTAATTAATTCTATCAAAACGATGATCCTGTGACCACCGTGACCGCTGCGATCACCGTTCATGTCGAGAACAAGCTCTAATAAGCAAATCTCATGGGATGAGATTGTTCGGAGAAGCTCACTGATCTTATTGGGATTGACTTCAAGTACCCTAGCCAGGTGACGAGATGCAAATCGACTAGGAAACTAAGAAAGCTGCGTCACCTTATATGTTAAGTGTCATGCAAGTCTCGGCTCATTCTGCGGCTCTATGATGCAAGCCTGGCTCGTTTGAAGCAGTCCGGTCACATCACCCGGCATCTCTCATTGCCGGACATTTGTCTATGACAACTAGACCAGCGCATATATGATACAATCGGGCAGATACAATGAAGCCCCAGGGCTGAATTGATGAGCTTCTCAATGTTTATCCGAGGCTACAAGCATCGATAGTGCGAAGTGGCGACTTTTGTCTGCATTAGTTAGCGAAAGTAAGCTTATCAAACGGAAGGCCTTTTTCATCGTTATTTTATTGTGAGCGGAAATAGCAATGTCTCATATGCCGTGCACATATACATGGATGCTAGGTGTCCTTCAGCTCGCAAAGGATACGCGAAACTTTTCAATCAATATCGTTGCCGTGGTAGGTTGTTGACGCTTGACTGCGCCTCATATGCAGCAGCTGCAGGGGGCTTTCGGTCTCCGTCCACAGTTGGTATGCTCTGCCCCAACTACGTCGCGCGAACTTCACCACTTCTAATCGTTGATGCGAACTTCGAATACCATGGTTTCTCAAGCAACCATTTAGCGTTACTCGATCAATAGAAACTGTTTTGATAATGCATACTTCTATGCGCGAAGCTTCATCCCCTACAAGTTCGCGCATCTACCATAGGCGGTTGACGCTTCTCCAACGGGTTTTCACCGCTGTCACGTCCAGGACGACCAAGACGGCCGAATACAATGTCTTCAAGATTCTCTACTATTCTTCCAAGCATAGTTCAACTAGCATATCGTCCCGTCAACTCAGTCAATGGAGAAATTCGTTTGGTCGAGCTAGCGCCCGGACAAAACGACGAACCTTTCTGCTTCTCCATACATACGAAGCAGTTACACGAGACGGTCGAATACGAAGCACTTTCGTATGTCTGGGGAAAGGATGCATGTCGACGCCGAGTTCTAGTCAATGGCGTGCCGCTTCCAATCACAGAGAACCTGGACCGAGCCCTACGTCGACTTCGATATAGCGACCGATCTCGGATGCTATGGATTGACACGTTATGCATCAATCAAGGAGACATGCAAGAGCGTTCAGATCAGGTTCAACATATGGCCATGATCTACAAGTCTGCTAAAGAGGTCATCATCTGGCTCGGCGAATGGACCGACTCGAACGGATGCCCGGACCCTGAGAAATGTCGCCTCTGCATCCTGCATATGTACAGTAGCGACGAGCTGTCTCTAAAAGCCCCACCAAATACCTTGGATATTTGTTCGCATCCATTTGAACACTTTTTCGAGATCTGTAGGCTTCCTTGGTTCTATCGAGTTTGGACCATTCAGGAATTCATCCTGTCTACATCAGACCCTATAGCACAGATAGGATCTGACTCCGTTCGCCTTTCGCATCTGCTTGACCTCGTCCTTGACATAGAACAGCTACTAAACTTTCATAAAGAGGAGCTGAGTTCCAGTGTCTATGCAGCCCTGGAAAAAGAAGTGTCAGATGTTACGCACAAGCTATGCGCTCTTCGGTACCTCAGGACGAACGAACATTCAAGACTTTTCTACTCATGTCTATTCACATCCAGGATCGCCATGGCTACGGATCCGCGCGATAAAATCTTTGGCTTGCTTGGCATCTGCGAGTTCCGTCATTCTGAGCCAATAACGGCAAGTTACAACAAGACTGTGCAGCAGGTTTTCACGTATGCTACTTTCATAGCCATACAAGAGCGCCTCGCGTTTCCATTCTTCCATTTTGCGCTGCATCCACCATCGGGAGTTGCCAAGATTGCAGGTATGCCCTCATGGGCGATAGACTTTTCTCTGCCCTCTCGACTTTTTGCTTTGAGAGAGGAGCGGTACTCGCATCTTCCCCAGGAAATCGGGTATCTTCATGAATTCGAGATGTTTGAGCGTCGTGATAACATCATGTTCCGATGGGATCCAATTTGGTCAACAATGTCTTTGCGCGTGTCCGAAGATGGTGGAACACTTTTCACGCATGGTCGATTCGTCGGTACGGTCGCTGCTAGCTTTCAAAACATAGCAAAAGTCAAAGACCCTTGGTCTGGATGGAACCTTGAGGATGATTGGAAGAGAATACATCAGTTTTACACCACGTTCATGCGACCAAAGAATATTTCGCTTGTCCAGCTCATCAAGGCTCTTTCCCTACGTTTGTGGCCAGATGAAATGGAAGAGGTAATGAGGAAGGAGCTAGTGAAGTCTGGGACACCGAACTTCTCTCGATTGAACGGGAATGACCTGAAGCAACGGACCCTACTCGTTACTGAAGAAGGACACGTTGGTGTCTCCTACCACTACGACCCTGTCGGGATTCAAGCAAACGATATCTTGGTGTGCATTTTGGGCATACAGGTACCATTTGTACTCAGGCCAGTTCCAGATACCCTGACATACACAATTATCAATGTCGCGTATGTACCCGGATGTGGTGATGACATATTGTGTGCATCAAAGGATCTAGGCGAGGAATTAGGTTGGTCAGACTTCTCATACGAAGAGGGTTCAAAGGAGTATGCAATTGTTTAGTATTACCTAGGCAACGTAAATCCTCTTATCAAGTCTTTATGCTCGTTGTGCAGGCTCTTTCCGGGCTTGAAATGACTCGGATTGGCAGTGTGCAGATTTCCGCTAACCATTCCTCAAGTGCTCTGCTACTGTTTCTCGCATATATTTGAACCAAATTTTAAGCTATATTTTCTACTCTGGCTATCTGCAGCATCTTTGGGAACTGATTCGTATGCCCTTGGCGAGGGCCATATATGCAACTGTTCAACAACATCAGCAGCATAGGCAACCAGCCCGAGACCGTTACGATCTGTCCAAACGACCAATCCACAACCCAATCACGCTCATTGATAATCCACGTTACATACACCAAAAAGTACAGATACGCTGCGACAGTGATACTCACTAAGACGAGTAGAAGAAGATGTCCTTGAAGTGACGTCCCACAAGATGAGACAGACCGGCCGTATCTGCTTTTCCCAGGCCACATGTCCCAAACCTTTACAAAGATTCTTGCTGATCTGAACTTCCACCACGTCAGTGCTATCATCGTAGCTATAGCAATTGGAAATAGCGTCGGAGCCATCCCAAAGACGTCCGGATTTGTATGGCCACAAGCGTTCACCGGAGGGCTCTTCCCACAAACCCCTGGGTACTTGGTAAGGTAATCGCCCGAAGCATCTCTGTACCTGAAGATCTGCGGGTGTAGCCCGACGCTCAGCGACAGGGCCCAGGCGGCAAACGTGATGCAGAAAGTGAATGTTAAGTGACGCTTGTTGCTCGCCATAAGCGCGGCGAGGACGAGAGTCGTTGGCAGGGTGCCGGATGCGCTGGCTGCTATGATGGCGCGGCGGTCGACGAAGGAGAGTGTTTTGGCAGAGAGTTGCAGGGTGATGAGTGAGGCGGTGTTGATGGCAAGGGCGAAGCTACATTGGGCCCGTTGGAAGTCGTCGAGGGCGGTGATGATGGTTTGATTGATGGACATCAGTAGGAGACGGGGTTGAGCGGGTGGATCTTTGTCGCATTCGCTGTCGGATTGGGGCGACCGAGGAGATGATGTCCGTTTCAGTGCGACGGAGCACAGGATCAGGCTGAGCAAGCCGGCAATTACGAAGCCGAATTGGATGTAGTAGGAGGAGATGACTCCGATCCCAGCGATGTCGGGATTGCTCGATATCCTCGGAATTGGACGACATAGATGGTCCAGACAAGTATCGAGGCTCGCCGCCGAGAGCATGGTCTTCCCGATTTTCAGTTGATCGATAGCGCACGATGATGTTCCGCAATTGCCTGACTCTCGACACCAGGTCGAGAGACATGTTGATATGAATGAAGTGACTGCCACAGACGCAGCTTCGGTGGTATCGACGTTGTTCTCGAGTAAATACGTTCTGTTTTGTGGAGATAAACCAGAGCTGCGAGACGCCTGTGTGATGTTGGGATAAAGTGCGCAACTCCAAAAGTTCATTGGAGCGCCGAACCTAGTAGGTAGTTTAGGTCTTATGCCGTAGCTGGAAGAATCTGGCCAGACGAATTGACCGTATTGTCCTTGGCCTGAGAATACAGCGTCCCCAATAGTACAATTCGTAGTTCCTCGTTCGTCCTTGAAGTAGTTGAATAATCCTGTGTCCAAGGCAGATGCTCTGTCTCTCTCAAATAGAAGGAAGTTTTGCGACGTCCCCGCGTTGGCTTCACTGACGAGAGTAGCATACTCTTGCGGGTACATTCTCAAACGTGCCCGATGTGTTTGAAGGAGTTGACATGGAATCTAGACGGTGATGTATTCTTTCCAAATTTTGTGAGTACAAGACGGGGCCAAGATGTGAGATGATGAATTCTAAGTTACAATTGTGCCCTAGTGGCTTAGTCGGCCTTCAGCGTGAACCAGGCTGAAACAAATCTTTTGGGGTCCGAGACATCGCCCTCTGTCGAATCGTGCTGTTTTGAACTCCAGCTAAGCCTCAGACAACAGTAGCTGAACGTCGCACTTGAAATAATACAGCCAAGGATGACGCTGACGGCTGAACGTCAGCAAAGGATCAACCGCGCCGCAGCCTCGCATGCGATAGCCGTTTAGAAAGGACTATCAGTAGACGCAAGAGTCAGCGCTAAGCCGTTGGTTAGATCCATAGATGACCAATTGTGCGAGCATGGTACCTGACGAGAGTAACATCTTAGCGCAGCCTAAAGCGAAAAAAGTGGTAGTGATAGACATCAGGAAAGAGGAACGTATAAGGCAAATGCCCTGGACCAGTCAGTCGCCCTCCATCTCAGCCCCATGTCAAAGCCCCCCAAAAAACGCAAACGTAACACGATCCCGATCTACCAAACCATTCCTACTAAATCACTTCTCACGTCCATCTTACCTCTCCCACTCCCCCGTCGGAATGCTCTCCCTCCCCCTCCTCACAACCCCCACTGGCGCCCCCAAATCCGAACCTGCCCTCCTCCCTCCACACCCCAAACTCCCTCCCCCCCTCTTACGCCCCTCATCCACACCTTCCACATCCCCCCTCAACACCCTCGCCATGAATCCCTTGACATCGACCAATATCTCCTCCGCATCCTCCCCCACACTAACATGGCCCGACGAAATCTTCATCCTATCGCCATCATGTTGGTTGTTGAAGGTTTGAACGATGTCGAGCAGGTTCTTAACGCTGTTCCACCACGCGGTTAAATCGCCCTTCATTGGGGAAGAGGATGAGCGCAGGCTCGTCCGGATGCGAATCAGGGCTCGTTGCAGTGTAGAATGAATCACCGACGTATAAAACCCTCTCCTGCGTATCCATCCACGTCAGACTATCCGGCGTATGACCCGGTGTGTGGAAAGTTAGTATCGGCAACTCCAATTCCCCTCCATCAGGATGCGTATATTTCACGCCCTGGCCGTTGCCGGCCCAGATGTCGATTTCATATTGAGGCGCGTGCAAACCCAAGTCTGCGCACAGGCTGTGTTCTTGCAGATTTTCGTACGGCGTGATAAAGCCCGGGTCCTGGCCCGACGCACAAATCGTCACGTGCGCGGGGGAGGAAAGGAGAGATGACAGGCCGAGGATGTGGTCGTAGTGGCAGTGCGAGAGAACTACGAGGTAAGGGATGGAGAGTGTGGGGTTGAAGTGGTGTTGGATGAAAGATGCGAGCGTCCAATTTTCGTGGGGAGAGGGGCGGGGGGTACTGGTTCCTACGCCCGTGTCGGTGATGATTAGGACGGAGGACGAGTCGTTCGTGTATTTTTTAATGTAGATGTGTGGGTGTTCGGACTGCGGGTTGTTAGATGGTGCGGGTGAAGGGTGTGGTGATGGAGGTTACATATTGGTCATTTTCGCGGACGAGCCAGGTGGTTTTGTTCAGCTGGCGAATGGTAAAGGGGCATTGTTTGGGGTCGAAGATGGCTTGTGGAGAGCTTCTGCGATCGCGACACATGTTGTTAATTTTGTGATGGGACATTGGATGTAAGTCAGTCGTATATATATTTACATGCAGACTAGCGTGACTGATTCGTCATCCGGACCTCTTTTTCCACGACTCAATCCGATGCCAAGTCTGTGATGCTCTGCAAATAACTTTCTAGATTCAGATCCTGTTGGCAGCCTACACGCACTTCATCCTGTCCGATGAAGGCAACGTACACTTATACTAACACCTAAAACGCCATGGCTAACTTCAACATCTACCATCCCCACCCAAGTAACAATACATTTTCCTTTTCCAGGCCACTACTCATACGCACTTAGATCCAGCGGCACACTGCTTCCTCTCCCAGCCCGATATCTCTTCTGACCATTCGAAAAGTCTCTTGGTCGTGGGAATTGTGCTTCGTCCTGGAACCTCCATCTCAAGTCGTGGATGGGTACAATCTTTCCTTTTTGAGCTCCACCAGCACCAGAAGTGGCTGGACTTCTCACAGATCCGCCGTTTGTAAGCGTATACGAACTTGCGTCGAGCATTGAGCGCGATGGCGCTGGGCTTGCTGAAGGTCGGTTAGGTGCGGTGCCCGGTGGAGGCGGTGGTGCAGACGCTGCGGGCGGTGAAGGCGCGGATGCTGGTGGGGGAGGTGGTGGGGCGGCAGGTGATGTTCTCCCATGCGCTGCGCCAAATGCGTTGCGCGCTGCCTGTTCTGCGAGTGATGGGCCAAGACCGTTTGCAGCTTTCGGTGGCGGAGGAGCGGGCGCAGGTGGTACTCTTGAACTGTCGTACTTGTATGGGTCGTACTCGTCGTCGTCTACTGGCGCTTTCGAAGGAGGCGGTCCGGGGGGTGGCGGCGGCGTTGAACGTGCTGGTGTTCGAGGTGCTGACGAAGGGGGAGGCGGCGGAGGAGCTGGCGGAACAGCGCCTGGAGGGGGCGGAGGTGGTGCGCTTGGTGTGGATGACGGTGGTGCTGGCGGAGGAGCGGGAGGGGCACCCCCAGGGACAGGCGGTGCTCTGGCTGGTGACGATGATGGCGGCGGAGGTGCCATGCCAGAGGGTTTGCGCGAGGCTGGTGGTGGCATGGGCGGCTTCTTGCCAATTGGCGGCGGCGGCTTGGGCTTCATGCCTATACTCGTATGGGACCGACGACGGCCTCGAGTCCTTCAGCGCATCGTAAGACGGGGAATTAAGGGGTGGGG